GCATAAAGAGAGCAAAGTGCACTGTTAGGATCGTGGAGGTAGAAAATTAAGAACAGACCCATTCCTATATTCCTACATGACTTTAGAAGACAGCATGAGAACTATTGTACAATCATGTCACTTGTCAGTGGACGTGGAGTTCCCAATTTAGTGCGAACTGTAGACGCGGCTCTTTATATAATTGCTTGACGATTTCTGCTTCCTCGAAATTCAGCCAAAAGTAACAGAGATCTTGCTGATGCACGTCAAGAGCGGTGCATGATCTCTTTTGAAGAGTCCGGAGGGGATCCTTTGCTTTGTAAAAAAAAAAAAATCCCCGAAGGAAAGAAAAAACGTACGAAATGGGAAGAATTGAAATGTAACATTTCAAAAAAAGCCCCATGTCGAGCCAGCCTCGTGCGCAAGTATTAATAAACTTGTTTCAGTCTGAAGCTGTGTGTATCTCAATTCAATTTAGGAACTTGGGTACAAAATGTAAATTTAACAGCTTTTGAAAGCACCTAATGTTCATCTTTTTAGTACTTAAGAAATACATGATGATTAATTGCAATATTCGTGTTTTATTTCAAAATTTGGGCCGACGAAACGATGGAAATTAATTGTCCTGCGCGCACCCGTACAAGTTTATTCACCCCGTACGAGGCAACACTTTAAGTCTTGTGGCCAGTCTCCAATACCATCCACCACGCGACAATCAAGTCAGTCGCCAGACTGATTTGGCACTTCAGGATTTGCTCGCGATCACGAACCGCTGGTCGGACTCTGACGTCATCACATACGCACAAGGCAGGTCGAGTCTATTTATAGGGTGTTTCCCCGAACGTACTTCCGGTTTCCAGCCCGGAGAGCTGAGAGTTGACTCGGAGAGATTGCCACACGACCGCGGCGGATCTGTGACCGTGTGTGTGTCAACTGCATTAGTTAAATCATCGCAGAGCTGGACGGACGTGGGTTTTCTGCTATTAACAACTATTATACGGTGAGTCACTCTTTGCATTGTAGGTGTTAAATGGGTTTCTTTTCTCCTGAAAAAAATCTTGAACACAATCTTGTTGTGTGGTAGATAGGCACTAAGAAATAGCACCAACGACGCACCCGAGAGTTGAGTTCAAAAGTTTTGTCTGCACAAGCATGTCCTCGGCTTCAAACACCTGTATAAATATGTGCATGACCGTGGACCCGGCATACTATATTTTAAGGCTTTAATGTGTAATTTGTTCCAGTGGTTTGACACAACATTATATTTAGGATATGAGACCTCAGGATGACAGTGATTTTTCAAAACGAAATATTATAGCAGATTTTATACCACAACTGGATACTCAAGACATTTACCGACACCTGTTTTTGGTTTGATGTCGATGTAAGCTTCCAGCTTGACCTTCAATTCAATGCAATTGTTGTTGTTTGACCCATTGTGCATGACATGTTGTTGGCTTTGTTAAAATAGAATTTACCATGGTTTTACCACCAGCTACAGCCCGAGTTGTTGTTTGAAAATAAAAAGTCGTACCTCCATGTTCCAGTTAATAAAGTACCTCCCTAAAGGAAGTACGTTAACAGTTATTTTTAAAATAGCACAATAAGGAAGTGATACCATAGGTTTTTTTCGGGGGGGGGTGCAAAATTTCACAGGCCATAATTATTTTTTTAATCACCACGGAACATTTTGACCCTTATCGGGAGTCCAGCACATGACGTGCTCAATTAAGGTTTGCCACGTGACGTTGTTGCAACTTTTATCAACTCGTACCACTTGGGTACACAACAGGTGGTTGGCCCATAAAAATCAGCCGGTGGTTTTTTTTTGTATTTATCTCGGGGTGGCGGCAAGCCTCGCCCAGCCGGACGCAGCTAGCCAGGGCCCGGTATACCGGATATCCGGGTTGGGTACTCGGCACCGCGCGTCCCGTATCCTGCTCCTGCTAGGCTGCTGAAAGTACAGGCCGAGTACTTGGACACTTGTATCTATTGTTATGTGCTCACTGGTATAAATCGGGGAAAATCAAAATGAAACCCCCTTTCAAAATAATTTCCAGAGAAAGTTGGGGGAAAATACCGCTTCGTTAATAAATGGTGTGAATTCCTTTGGCCTTTTTGAATGCGAGATTTGTGAAAGTGAAAGAACGTGTAAATACCTATCCCTTACGTCCTCCGAAAACCCTGTTTATAAAGCGAATCCGGGATGCATTATGTTTGTCGTATACGCGTAAGCAATAACCATTTTAATAACCATTGTTAATTTTGACAGATTTTTTTTTTTCGTTTTGCCTATATGAAGTATAATAGTCTGGCCAGGCCCAAAACGACAGGTGTCTTTTTTAATTTAATTGAAATCACAGCGGGGTCGGTCATAATGTGCATTTTCGAATATATTGGGATGATTCATATTGGGTCCATGTGCCTTGTTGTTTAATTCAATTATTTTAATGAACAACATCATAAACGTTGGATTTCGAATCGATTGCGCTGGCGTTTAAAATCGATAATGAACATTTTGCTTGTCATTGAAATTCTAACAACAACAAAAATGGCCACCCTGACAAAAGTTGTAATTATAGTAGTTGACTAAATGTCTTTGTATGTTTTTTTAGACTCATCAATGTTTTAAAGTTATTCTCACCTCTTTTTTTTATCTTCGACAAAATGTTCGTTTATAACCGGGCATAATCAGGCATCTTAGAAACGTGCCCCCCAAAAAATTAGGAATTAATTATTTTAATGATCATTATATGTGTGACTTATATTGTTAATAGTTGATTCACTTTGTTTTAACAATTTATTTATTTATTTTCGTGTCCACTTTTTGATGGTGCGAAATGAATTCGGCCGAATGGGCGGTGCAAAATATTCCAGTGGAGAAAGGAAACTTTATATACGTTGATAGTTCAGATTAAATTTTCTACTCGAATTGGAACTTAAACATTATTATTATTTTCAATAAACGTGGCATGCGTGTTAGGCCTGATGGTATACACGCCCACTCACAAATTGGCAATTGACGTGAATTGAGGTGGTCCGTTTTTTAAGTACATGAATAAATATCGGTCTAATGAAAACGGTGATGTCTGCCAACATGACAACCGTTGTGTAACTATCACTGGAGGTGAATTTCTCACTTTGTCGTCAAGGAGTGTATGAGAACAGATTTCCCCACCTATCCAGATGAACATGAATGTTGGTACAGCCGATGGTAATAACATGCCAGCTGGCATTTTCTCAGCTGCTGGTGTGATGGGTATAATATAGGCGATGTATCAATTCAGTGATGCGTGCCCGCGTTCATTAAAAACATAGCGCCCGTGGAGCATGCGCAGACCAATTTACTACGGGCGTACCTACGTCATTGCGAAATTATCACTGTCCTGGCAATTATGCTAATTAGTCGTGTGGCGAGCGCGAGGATCGTGAATGAAGTCTGGTTCGGTGGCTCGTCGTGTAGCGCGTATTTTTAATGTGTGCCAACATACGTCTGGGCTTCGCAGCCAGCTAACAGTTCTTGTTTCCTTGCTCTATATGGTTCTCACGCTGGATTAGTGGATGCGTTTTTGAAGGTATATCATGCTGGAGAATGTAACTACGGTTGCAGCAAATCGTGTTAATTGAAACAATTTAGTCCTGCCGTTTTGTCACGCGATATTTCAACATTCCTAAAGACGTTTTGCTCATTTTTTTTTTACAAAATAACGGAGGTTCGAGTATAATTATGTTTACCCTATGTTGTTAATTTGCACACAGGTACAAAACGACATTTGAAATTGGTTCCGTGGAAACTAACGATTCAGCGAGTGACTACCGCCGTTTTTGGGGGGTGTTTTGACCGCGACACCAGCAGCATGTTAACCGGGAACTCCCGAGCGCCTTCCCCCGCCGATCCCTCGGCAACGACTCTCGCCGAGCAGTTTCTGCCTGCCCCGTATCCGAAAGGTGAGTTGAAACCGCAACTTGAAACTATAATGACTTGTTAATGGAATATTTTTATTTGAGTTTAGTACTGTCTATTGGACTCTCTGATATCTTCTTTTGAGTTTTCTTGACCGGTTTGGCAGAATACACCACTTCTGGTATTCTGCAAGTGATGGGACAATACGGTAGAATGCTGGTGTACTATTAACCACTTTTTTAAGCATATTCTCAATGATAGTCATTTATTACAAATATGTTTTTAAAAATGCATTTTAGATCTGGAAACGTGTTCAATTATATTAGTAAATACTTATAGACTTATAGACTTTCAGAAAAGCAGAATACACTGTACCTCTGGTATTCTGCAAGTGATGACAATACGGTTAGAATGCTGCATGGTATACCATTAAACCACTTTTTAAGCATATCCTCAATGATAGTAATTAATTACAAATATGTTTAAAAAAATGCAATTTCGATCTGGAAACGTGTTCAATTATATTAGTAAATACTTGTAGACTTCGTACACAGCCATCAGAGTGTCATAATCTTTCCCGCTCAGAAAAGCACAAATTTTCATAATCTTTCCAAAACATGCTCAGAAAAGCACAAATTTATGTTTCATTTTTATCAGTAAAATGAAAGTTAGAGAACGACTTTACGTGCGTCATTATATTAATTTCCCGTCTTTCGTGGTATATGTTCTCGGAACAATTCTTAAATGGAAACAAAAATTTGGTCCTTTTTTTGCGGCCACAAAAGGACCGCAACGGGAAAATTATGGCATCAATGTGTGACTCTGCAGCCAAAAATAAAATTATCTTTTGCAAATGCATCATCTTTCCAAATTGCAAATGACGAATATCTTGTCTGGAATGTCGGCCAATCACAAACCGTCACGCGTGGGGTTACATTTTTACACCTAGCACAATGCACGCCCTGTGGGGAAAAAAATCTCATTGAGTCAACACAAAAGATACCGCCACAAACCAAATATGGTCGGGCACTTGTACGGGGTTACCCCTTCGCCTTTGTTACGGCTAGGTACAGCAGGCCGTTCGGGGAACGTCTAAACATTCCAGAGCCCATGACATCATCGTGGGGGTGTCATTATCGGGTCAAGGACCACCTATGGGTGCCATATTTCGGTTTCGACTGGTGCCCTTGCACTCTATATGCATGACATGGCATTGTTGTCGTTGTGTGTGAGCACGGTGAGAGCCAGTGATTCTGTGACGACGTTTCTTGGTATTCAGGCTAACTGTTCACTGGGTATAAATAATCGTACATGTACGTTTACATGTTTGAAGTACATGTACTTTTTGTGTACAGCCTGTATTATGTGAACTATGGAATGCATTGTTTGGTCTGCCCAAAAGGACCGCACTACACGCAGTGAGTCAGAATGAAACAGCATTTTAATGTCTCCGGGGGAAATCGTCTGCTTTGAAATTTGCCTCAGAAGAGTTTTTGCAACAACTATTGTCAAAGACGATTCGTCATTCTCACGAGTGTGATCCAACTAAGAAATTATTGCACAATTTGCTACAAGATAAGTTCCTCGACGGTGCAGATTATAATACATCACAACACCGTGCGTTAGTGAGAATTTAATCGGCTATCAGAACCCGATGAGCAGTACTATCGGTGAGGATTTTTTATAGAAACTTTCCAAATTCCGGTAATGAGTGACGTCGATCAAAATAATTTATTGATTCAATTATTTTTATTTACTCACATACTAACTTGGTAATTAGTTTTTGTGTGTGTTAACGTATCGATACATGATTTTAATGATCAATTATAGATCATTACTTTTCTATTAACTTCCCTTTTTATCTATTTGAGTTGATGTTTTTGTAAGTTCATTATTTGTTTTCTTCATATTGCATTTTTCTCCATAATTATAGCATGTTCATATTTCAGGGTATTTTAATTTGTACTTGTAAACAGCCTAAAAGAAACAAAGTTTAGGCTCGCTACAATGGCCATTTGCAAGGGCCTATACGAGGGAACTTGCAAAACCAGAATCCTACATGTATTTTTCCAGGGAAAATCTGACAGGCCCAGGCATAGTGAATATTCTGAACATCACTTCCCCCACGTCACGGGTAGTACCAAGCTCCAGTTTCCTTGTTCGGGCTGTTTCTCGACCGGGAAGTGAGCCCATAATTACATTGGACGTGTAAGCCGCGTGTTGGACTAGTTGTGTGGTTCAGATTCGGTTTTGGTCTGCTAGTTGAAACTCATAATAGGAGAGGTCGTGTACGTACACACAGGAGGTTCACCGGTATAGTGCACGCACTGGGAGCAAAATAGCATTGTTCTCTTGGTAATACGGTGACAGTTATGTATACTTGTTTCACGCTGGTCCCTCTAGATAAGCCCAGCCCAGGGCGTGTCTCCACCCCCATCACGGTCAAGACGGAGTTCCCTTCTTCAGCAACCGACCACCCGATGGATCAGCAGCCGACGGCGGCTCCAGCCGGCGGTCAGACACCGCAGACAGCACAGGGGGGACTCGGCATCAAACTCAAAGGTTGGTGGTGGTGTGTCATTTATAATCACCGTATTTTTCCATACGCAGTAGAAATCCTTTTTTAGTGAGTCAAATTCAGACTTCAATGAATCACTCCCACAGCTCAAGCTCATCATATATTTCAAGGTTGTGCTTAACTCTCTCTGTTAGTCTTTCGGCAAAGTATGCATGCAGCATAATGTGTGTGGTATTGTTTTGTTCTATTGATATGGTGGTCTCGCATTGTTGCATGTACATTCAACATGTTGTCGTGGATGACTAGACTAAAAAAAGAAAAAGAAAAATCCATTATGTGCTTTTACAATTGTGGTTTTGTCTTCGATAAATAGAAACGAAACCACTGATGGGTGCGGTTCAATATTGCTTCTGTTGTCGAAAAGCTTGACTTTTCAGACATTATTCAAGATTTCCATTTTTCTTAAAAAAAAGTTCATTGCCACTTCACTAGTTCAAGTCCACCCCACCACGATCCCCAATAAGTGATCAAATTTCACAAATGGAAATTCCATTATCAGGAGTTCAAGGTCTTATCCCTGTATCGTGTGCTCTAATACATGATCACCCGTCGATTCCAAAATCAAAAATTGAGATTTTTACTGAGAGGTCGCTGCGGCGCTGCAAGAGAACTTTTCCCTCAAAACGGTGAGACGACTTGATCGCAAATTAACTTCAACTTTCAAGCAAACTAGGCACTCTGGTGATTTCTGTGAGGGTCTTCTATTATTTATGCCATTTATCGATTCGTTCATATTATTTACTTTGCATATTTTGAGCATACCTAAAGTTCGTTAGTGTTTTTGTTTTTATTAGAAATCCTGTATCCAGCCCCTGTGTAAAATAGTTGAAATTTTTCGGGAAGTCCCGATTTTTTTCTGAAATAGGTTTATAACATGAGATCAGCGCGTATAATTCTTGGAAGTATTACGTTCCCTTGAATATTATTTTAGGATATAGCGGTCTGCGAGGGGATAAAATGGCTTTAAAAACTCCATGCACTGTTTCATTTCATTCGATTGGCAGCCATTTTGAAAATTGAACATCGTTTATTATTTTTCCTCAAATGGCTGATTTTGCGCTCAAGCATGTGGCTTATCACTGAATTATCTTTCTAACGGATAGTTATTTATAGCGGTTGACCCCCCTTTTTTTGGGGGGGGGGGTGTTGTGTACATGTTGTGTTGAGAGACAAATCGGAGGCAAAAGAAAGAAACAATCCTCCATGCAATCATCAGACCCGGAAGCAACCTTTTTGACTCATCCACTGACCATGACGTCATCGGATGTGCATTATTCCGTTTGTTGCACTGGCTAATCCATATTGTTCGAGAGATAAACATATTTGGTACCTGGCACGTGATTGGGACGAGTTTGTTGAGGACAGGAAGGAATGGCCCGGGACCCTGGATAATTTAAGTCCGGTACTTTATGAGCTGCCACTTCCGTCTTTGGGATGGGCTTGGCCAGAAGTTGGCGCTCAATTTCTTCAAGTCCTTTTTGTGTGTGTGTGTTTGAGGCGGGGAATAAACAGGATTCTGTGGATATTAAAGGCAATGAGGATTTCCGCACGTTCACTTTCCTTTTTGGAACCTAGATGTTTGGCTGTAATAAATCACATGGCGTTGGAATTGTGCGGACGTGTCAGTGAACGCACTTGTCGAAAACAGATTACGAAACGATTTAATGCGCCTGCGCCGTGCAGACAATGTTCCATATTTGTAGTCCCATGATCAGTCACGTGACACAAACACCCAGAAATACATTTTGCTTGTAAGTCAGGTGGCTCTGAGTCCACAACAGCAAGGGATATCTCACGGTGACTTTTTTTTTTGAAGTCTCAGAATATCGCAATATGCTGTGTAATGGTTGATCCGTGAGTGGTTTCGATTTCGCCAAAAATATCTTGAGCATTTTGACCAAAATAGAAAGTTGCAAGGTTTCGGTCGAACTTAAATTAAGACCAGCCCAAAAAACGAGGACAAATTTCGAAGGGTTTTCAGAAAAAAGAGAGTTGTTAAACCCTATTTAAGGGTCAGGGTGGAATACCCACCCACCCCACCCACCCCCGTACAGCCCCCTCCCCCGATACCATTGTTGCATCATGCCCAGCCCTCATAATTTTGTAGACTGATGTCTTGCAGACGTTTTGGCGCTCAATTTAATAAAAATTGGACGCAAAGTCCGCACAAAATGATGATCTTTTCGATGCGATTGACTCTGTAAAGGTAAACGTACTCATTCGAGGACGGAAGCGTGTAATACATTTATTATAATTACGAACAAGATTTGCTCGATGGAGCGAAAACATTGATAATGAACTAAGCTTGGTTGTTTCTGCAAGCTTATACCAAATTTCATAAACAGTCAGTCGTTTCATTTCCGATGGGAACGGACAACCCCCCCCTCCAGACCCCAAAAAGTTTGTCTAGGGTTAAGTCCTATGAAACATGCATGAAATGATCGTGATGATATTGAACATCTACAGGGAACGTCGAAATTCAGCGTTGCATCTGATTTCACAATTATTGAGCTGGCGAGCAGACTCAATTTACTGAGCGAAATGTATTTTCAAGTAGTCGCTGGCGGACATAATCAAATTATTTTGGGGGGTCTCGTTATACCTGGTTCCACCTGAGCTGAAAGATTTCATAAGCGAGTTTATAAGTTTACTCGACAGGTAATGGACTAGGCACACAACCGTGGAAATTGATTTCCCATATTTTGAATGATTTTTGTATGTGTGTTCCTTTCAGGTATGGAAGCCAACGTCACACTATGGCAGTTCCTCCTGGAGCTTCTGATGGACAAAAACAACGTCCATCTGATCACGTGGACGGGCAACGAGGGCGAGTTCAAGCTCAACAACTCGGAGGAGGTGGCCCGGATGTGGGGCCTCCGCAAGAACAAGACCAACATGAACTACGACAAACTCAGCCGCGCCCTGCGCTACTACTACGACAAGAACATCATCAAGAAGGTCATGGGCCAGAAGTTCGTCTACAAGTTCGTGTCGTTTCCCGAGATCGTCAAGACCGAGAACAAGATCCCGTTCCGGGTGAAGATGGAGACGCTGGACGGACCAGCGAGTGGGGCGGGGAGTACGGCGGCCTCCAGACCGCAGAGCTACCCCGGGATCACGGTGACTGCAGCACCGGACAGGAAAAGCCCGGCCGGACATGTTAATGGCCACCACCAACTCCACCACCACCATCATCGACATCATCACCACCGGGAATCGCCGAAGTATGTGCCGAGTCCCCTGGCGCGTTCGCCCAAGCGCGCCAGCCCGGACACGCACGAAACGGCCCTGAATTTGAAAAAGCACAGCGATGATCGCGAGGAGATCGGCAGCCAGGAGCAGCAGTGGAGATCCTCGGGAAGGCTGATCCTCAGCGCTGGTCACCATGATGCCAGGATCTCGAGAAGCCCTAGTCCCAGGACCGCGGCTTTAGTCGGTGGTAACGGCTCGGAGGCAAGGCTGACCGTCGAGCCGAGCCTGGTCACCAGCACCGGCCGGCCTTTCAGCACCGTCTGCACCCCAAGCACGGCCTCCACGGCCATTAGCAGCTCGTCCACCAACCGACCCAAGCCCTTGCCCATCGCTACCTTGCAGACGCCCAAGGGTGACTTGTTCGCTGCCGCCATGCCCTCCAAGATGTCCACCACCAGCCCGTCTTTCCTGACCACCTCTAACGGGCTTACGGTGCCCTGCTACGCCGGACCACACACCCCTTTGCCCGGCACACCAATCATGGTGGCAAGTCCCATGTTTGGTCAAAGCGGCACTCCTTTGGTTCCACTCCATTTCTGGAGCACGTTGAGCCCTCTGGCTCTCAGCCCTTCTATGAATTCCCAAATGAACACATTCCAGTTTCCCGCCATTATCAATGGACTGACTGGCACACCAGTCTCAGTGTCTGGCATGATGCCCATCCATACCCCTACCGTGGTCTTTTCACCAACGACGACCAAGCCGATAGTTGTACCTTGAGCCATACAGACTGATTTAAATCTTGGAAGACAAAAATTCCTCTATTAAAAAAAAAACATTGAAATGGTTTCCCGCGAGTTCTTGGACTTAAGTCTGACTTTTTGTTTGTGATAAAGTCCCAACAGATGACTGAAATGCACGGTGTCCAAATTTATTGAGGTCCAGCCGTTTAGGTCTTTTTGAGCTGATCTCGTGGTGGCTGTGCACACGACAGCATTAACTGGCCGGCTTGAATCAAGTCTAGCAAATAATCGTCCAAATGTTGTCTTGGAACCGTTACGTCTCATATCAATTTTTTAGGCGCAAATGATGTGTGAATGTCGTCCGCTCATATATCATCCAAAATACACGGATTTGCAGGAGTGTGTTTGCACTATAGCACTCGATTTTTCTGGTGGATAATGTAGTCCTGTAGGTACAGGTCGATTAAATTCGTATAACAAACATTCTGTAAATAATATTAATTTGGCTGGTTTTCTTCTTTTTTGTTGTTGGTGTATTGTTTAGTTTAGTGGTATTAACGATACACCATTCGGAATTGTATATATAAAAAGGGCTGTGCCTTCAAAATATTTCAAGGAAAAAAAGACAGAACTATTTTTTTTTCCTGGATAGAGTGAGATTATATTTTTGTAAAAAAAAATAAATAGTTGTGGGATCCTGTTTCCAATGGGTTAATATTTTCCCGTTCATTCCGGATCCGCGCGTATCAGTTTCGGAATGATGGTGACCCCGGATCCTCGGGTCAACATTAAATAATGTACATACACGTAGGGGTTTTTGTGAACATAAAAGGGGTTTTTACCGTCTGTTTCCCGCCTTCATGCACACTCTCCTTTTTTTTGTCTGTGACGTCCTTCCGAGTATGAGATGTCTTATTTTCAATGTCGATACCAGTCACTCTTACACACGACCGGAAAAACGTCAGACCCTATGCGAGTCTAAACTGTGCCGTAGGTTTGAAATGAAATGTATGTCGGTTTCGGAAAACCTTGAATAACGCAAAATGCTCAAACTTAAAAATGACGTTATCCGTTTGATCTTCTCTCTGTGAAAGTCCGAAATAAGTACCACGCTTATACATAATCATAAAAAAAAATCATCTACCAAACTTTCAGCCTCCAATTTTTAAAGCTGACCAAAATAATCTGCAAACTGGCCTTTATTAAATGTATGTTTGGGTCCACGCTATACCGCGATATGAAACGTGCATCTAATGCTCTTTAAGTTTAACACGGGTTAGGAGGTTCGGGTTTTTTTTTTCAATCTAAAAAATAAGTGTAGATGTTACTCACGTATTATTAGTGACGTTTCACTCCTGAGCTAGGAGCTTCGTCAGACTGGCAACCAAAACTGCCTTTTTATATCCTTTAACATGGTAAGGAAATATGCGGACAAGCTAAGTTGTAGACTTTAAATACATTGATTACCATTGCCTAGTTTGTTTGATTTATCGCGTGTGTCCGATTCTATACTCATCTCACAATTACTTTGTACAAACAATGGTATATTGTTTTCTGAAAATGTGATACGAATGGTACCAGTACCGGTAACTGAACTTTTCTTTGACACCAACAGAGGAAAAAAGGATTATCGAACAATGTTTACAGATCTATTGGTCCAAATTATATTTTAAAATGTCATTGGCCAACACGGATGTAAGAACAAAAGGGGAAAAACTGGGATCCGGAATCAACGACGCGGGAAAATATGATACTGTTATATGATACCGGGGTAGAATAAACAAGCTCACATCATGCCTCCAATAGAATGAAACAAGAAACTGAAATGAAAAGAAAAGAAGTTGGATTGACGTCCCCGGTTTTAAGTCAGTTTTCCTGTTTTGTTTTTAATATTATTTCACATTTTAATTCCCCTTCCTTAAAGAAACAGAACTTGGTATGCAAAGACGATTACGATCAGTTCCCCCCATTCCTGATGGGCCGTTTTCATTGTATGTTTGTGTATGATCACTGTCTGTATGTTGAGCAATCTTTATGCCAAATTCGTGTTGCTCTGAACAAATGTCTGTATATAGGTACAGCCTAAAACAAGGCTCCTATCTCGTGGCCAAAATAGGCTGGTGCACATGACTTGAAGTAATTTTACCCCGGTTTTGATATCACAGTCCAAGTGAAACTAGACAACTGAAGAAAAAAACCGGCATATTATTTCAAGACAAATTTAATTTCAGTCGTAAGATCTAATTTATTATTTCGTGTCTTTTTCTTCCATGTTGTCTATGACAACCAAATTCACTCTCTGGACAATTCTCCATGTGAAAAGGAACTTAACTATGATAACGACAGTTGTAGTAATATGAAATTAGGTTTGAAGATCTTTTGCTTGTATTATATCACATTGCATTATCATATTTTTCCAAAAACAACACTCGATTGAATTCATTCCAACCCATTAAACGGCAATTTTCCGTGATAATAGTTTTGTTTGTATCAAAACCGAAAAAAGACCTAATTGAACCAATTAATGTTTGTAAGTACGATTTTTTATACCCGTAAAAAAATGTACATTAATTATTAATCAGTGCGTTTGCAATTTTTGTGTAAAAAAAAATGTTAGTAACAAAATACGTATTGTCGCTCACGCTGGACGTGGCTGAAAGTTATATCAAGGAAGATTTATTTTATAATTCATAAGTTATTATTTCGTTTGTCTTGATGTTTTGTTGTAAAGCAGAATTAAAATTGTGCTGTGCTGTTTCGATGATTGTGAAGAACAAGCGAGCCTGAAAATAAAGAATGGTATAGCTTAACCGAATCTGTTTGTCATTTTTGTTTTCAGTCAGTTTTGGAAGAAGTACAGGGTGAGTAAAAAAAAACAACGAAACTCGAATGTTGGGACCATTGTTTTAGTGAAGTTCTGCATGTAGCACTTTCCAAATCTAGGATATGAAAGCCCAATTCACAAACTTTCTTTTAGTACAAGAGTCATTCAAATAACTCGTGTTCTTTTCAAGTTACGGAATTTTAAATCCAACCACCGTTTTAAGGTTCTGTCCACGGATCACAAACAAGTCCAGTGTTCTTTCAGCAAAACGAAAACAAATCACATAGGGATGTGACTGTGTGAATTGTTTTCGTTTTGCTGAACGCACACCTTTTTGGTGATCCGTGGACAGAACTTTAAAACGGTGGTTGTGTTTGATTAAAATTCCGTAACTTGAAAAGTACATTAGTGATTTGAATGATTCTTGTACTAAAAGAAGGCACTTGAATTGGGCTTTCATATCCTAGATTTTGAAAGTGCTTCATGCAGAACTTCACTCAAACAATAGTCCCGACATTTGGGTTTCGTTTTTTTTGACTCGCTCTGTATTCTGCAAACGAAACATCTCTTTGATACCATTTATCAAACAAGTTACTGGAATTTTTTTTTTACCGGCCCCTGAAAACTCGAAGAGTTGGGCACAGAAAATGGGGCTGGTGAAAGGGGGGGGGGGGGTAATGCGACGTTTGGGGCGTTCTGTTTAGGCAGCAACATTCTTTCCTTTTCATTTTGTTTGCGTTTCCGGGGGATCTACCCGATGTTCCCCAATACCGATGTTCCCCCAAATCCTTAGGATTAGGGTTAGGGTTAGGGCTAGGGTTAGGGTTAGGGTATATTGGTAGGGATTTCGGGGAACATCGGTATTGGGGAACATAGGTATGCACCCCGTTTCCGGAGAGTAGTCAACGTATCGTTCCACATGAATTTTATACTACAAGATGAATAAAAAAATTGCGGAACTCAAACCCATATAGAAATTTATTTCATATTTGAAACAATATCCAGCTCCAAAATAATTATGACTGGTAAGCCAATTTTATAAACTACTTTTGGTGACTAAAGAAAGTGACTTCAGTTGCTCAATCCGTTCAAATTATATCACCATTTAAACGAAATGACCCTAAAATCTGTTTCGTCCAAAAAATGCGATTTCAAGAATTGTCGTTACAATTGTCTTCAAACACCACCAGCGATAAACCTTCAGTTTAAAAGTTAGAAATATTCAACAAAGTCCTTTTGAAGGCCTGTTTTTAAAAAAAAAAGGACGAAGTGGATTTTATTAATCCTATTGTTAGCCAAGGCAGGGTTGTTAATATATTTAATTATGTACTACATGCAGTTGTTGAAACAAGTAGTCTGTGTTATTTTCTTTGTTGTTCCAAACAGTCAGAACACACACTAGATTGCTTTTTTTGGATGAAACTGATTTTAGGGTCATTTCGTTTGAATAGTAGTTTAATTTGAACGGATTGGGCGATCGAAGTATTTTTTTTCATCTAAAAGTAGTTTATAAAATTGGTTTATAAAAAGTCATAATTATTTTTGGTGCTACATATTTTTTTAAATATCAAATATACTTCTTTGGGTTTAGGTTCCGTTTTTTTTCGACTCACCCTGTATGCTATATAGGGTTTGACTGGTTTACGCTCGGCGCGAACACGCATGCGACCACGAATCTGTTATTAATCACGCGAGCATTCGTGCTGCAGGAAAAACAATAGGTGAAGACATTGTCACAACGTTGCGTGACGTCATTGCGCACTGGCTCTTTGATTTGTATAATGAGGCATCGAAATTGGAAATTAAAGGAACAAAATTACTGAAAGTTTTCCCGGATCTATGTTACAAGCAACCCGGAAAAAAAATAGTTTGACGTCAATTCGAACCGTCTTTATGCGTCATCACTATGTCGTAATTATTAAGGGGCAGGTAAATCACAATGAACGTTTGTCGTGACTATTATAGCGGACAGTGTGCTAATTTGGGTGAATATAATGCCGTTTGAATCGTGGTGTCCTGGTGATATTGATACGAAATGTAGATGCTTTTCGGCGAAAAAACACGGCATCTTCACACAGCACTAAAAACACCAACTGAATGACGAGAATGCATTGCCCAAAATTTGATTAATTCCGTAAGCTCGCTTGATCAAAAAGTACAAGAATTTGAGTTTAAAAAATACAAATGTATTCGGTTTAGTTTTCACCGTTGTTCCAATCTCCGAATGTACATAAGGGGAGGTCTTATTACTATAACTACTTTACATTTCGGTTCCTTCGGGGCTCTGGTAATCTCTAATCCTTTTCACATGATCTTTTTGAAGGAAATGCAGTCATCGCAAAGCTTTGTTGGTAGGTCACTTGTCATGATAAAATGTACGCGCATTACGTAAGCACGTGTCACGCACACGCGGAAGTGTTGACCTCAGGTCAGCGAGTAAAGAAAATCCGTCCAATGAGAGCTCAAAGATTTTTAGAGGTAACCAAGGCCAGTGGTTGGCGGTGGGAACGCATGCAACGCGCGAATTCTCTTCTTCCCCCCTATTTTTTAAGTGGCGGCATAAAGTTGGCTGCCCGCACTGCAGTATTACAGCAAATGGGCCACTATCGGCGCTCTGCACTTGCGAAGTTTAGCCCCAAATATATAGTGTAATCTAACCGGAAGTCTGGTCTACTGTGACTCATTAGACACAAGTACCGGCGCGGTATACAAGAGCACATGCTATTCTAGGCTCCGGACTCAGCCGACAACCGCCATGAGTTTATAGTGAGGCTATGCTATTCATAGACGCGCCTTGGCCCAAATTTAGCCCGATCCATATACCGACGGGGATTATGGTCGGGAGTGCAGCACCCGGAAGTAGGATTTATTAGAGAGATTGGCTGGGTCTCGTGGCTGGGTGAGTTTATTGCCGAGACAAAAACAAGGGGCTGCTTGTGAGCTGTAGGAAGTGATACAGCGGGAATTGGGCGCCAGGGCGGGAGTCGTTTTATCTGATGGCGCCGGGGAAGTCTTTCCTCTTCTTCTCGATCCTTTTTCTTATGCAGAGCGTTAAGAACCAGGATCATGTGAAGAACTGTCGGCAGAAGTGATGAAAATAACCTGACGGGAAACCTTCAAGAATTTACGAACGAATATTAAGTTCAACCGTGGCGCGGGCATCACGCCAGAAATCTTATTTGGCACATAGCCTATGTCATTTTTTGACTGACTCGACTGACTGACTGACTGACTGACTGACTGTCACTTGTGATTTAGCCTAGTTCAAGTTTTAGACTGGTTAGAGGAGCATGGCAGTGCTACATAACCCCGTATCATAACAATGGGCTAAACACGGTCCATTAGGCCTCGCCTACACCATGCGAAGATGCAGGCGAAGACGTCCTGTGAATATAGCATTCTGAATCAATCGAATATAATTTTGTGTGCTCCGAGATCGAGACCAGCTTACGTGTGTCTGCAGTTGCAATCAACTCTTGCAAATGTGTTTGGATCGAGCAAACTAGCATTGTGCATGTGCGCAAAAAAAGGGCCAGCTGGGCCAGAATCATCGTACCCATGAAACCAGCAACTGCACGGTGCATGCAAACCAGCTGATTCCAGTGAAGTTACGGATAGGGGCCGGGGGGGGGGTGTTAGGCGGTCTCCCTCCCCCTAAAAAGTGGGCCGCAAGAAATAGGAAAGTCATGCAGAAAAAGTAGCACATGACCAGCTACCTTTCCCCATGACAGCTAAATTCCCACATGAGCCAAAGCTGGATCGCCCCTGGGCTCAGTGTGAACTAAGAACATCAATCGCGAACTGCGACTTGAAAAGGTCTAAATTTCAGAGTAGAGCGCCATATATAGGCTGTGCCGTATTTTCTGGTATCCGGTTCATAAGTGTGACGTCCTTTCAACTTTCAACCACGCCCACTGCACAAGGAGTATCATTGGAACCATTGGAACCGGAGGTAGTGCAAAGTAGCATGTTTAGCCAATAGGCGGTATATATGCGCGTGTATGACGCATCACTTTGCGAACAAGAATGCGAGTTCCTGAAACAAAAAAGTGTTTTTTCTAGACGTGTTCTACTTTTGTACTCGCACCAGTCAACAGAGTCGAAGTCGGGTCTATCTCGTGTCTATCACATCACAAGTCAGGTCATGGGCAGGTCATTTGTGATGGGCATGTGAGGACTCGTAATTGTGTGATGCACTCGATCGGCTACAACACTAGCCTTTCGCCAAGGCAATCGTGGCTTAGAGCGGCGGAGCTGCGAAAAGCACTAAGCGACTGGAGCACTCACGAGTGGCGTAGCCACGAGGCCTTTTCGAACTTGATTTTGCGGTTTTGCAATTTTTTGTTGTTGAATGCTGACTCCGTCGTTTCCGATTGTTTGGAATTTTGCTACCCTTTTGGGATAGCAAAAATCGAGATTATAAGGAAAAACATAAGAAATTCTTGACAAGTTGGAAAAGGCCTCGTGGCTTCGCCACTCGCGTGTGTGGTCTCCCGCTCCAGTCGCTTCGCGTTTTTCGCCGCTTTGTCAAATGCTGGCAAGTTAAGCCACGATGGCCTTGGCGAAAGGCTACTACAACACAGATTTACAATTCAGCCCACGACGAAGCTTAAGTAGCCCCCCCCCCATACGCGCACGTAAATCTCGTGTGAACCCACCCCCTAGTCTGAGGGTCAGACATTCAAAGTGTGCAGAGCTAGCTAGAGCAGCCACACGAACATACTTTATGCGACCCCGCGCGCCAGCCAATCGGAGCCGACTTTAGAAACTGTGACGTCATTTCGATCAGAAATGTGGACTAAGCTGTTAATGGGTCAATTCGACTGCCATGGTTTCGGTATTGAACAACAACGGGTTACGGAAGCCCCGAGATAGAAGGCGCCCGCTGCGTGGTCACAATCTGGATGTCAAGACGCAGTCTTGTTTTGTATAATCGTGGAATCTGCTCGCACATCATAGACATTTGCTGAGCAAGGGGACATTAGACTACCCCCCCCCCCCAACTGAAACAAAAAAATCCCGACGAAACTTTCTCGCAAAACCACTAAGACTGAACTGTAATTTGAATGAGGGCTTAATATGGATCGTGGCATTTTGTCACACTACACTATTAATAAGTTATGTAGGCCTATATTAAACTTGCATGATCATGCCCCTCTAGCTCTTCAATGCATCTGATGAGGAAGTAGTTGCATTGCTAGTACGGTACCATGCAAACTTTTATACTTGAAAGTCATTTTAAGTGCTACCTTACTTTTCCATTAGATTGTGCCTGACTAACACGGCTGCCAATTATCGCAACACCACTGAATAGTTTCACAGGGTGTTTGCAATAATTGCTGTATTATAGTCGGAAGGTGTTTGACCATGGAGATATATAAAACGTCGAATCCCACACAAAAAAGAAATCGAGTCGAACTTCCCACAAGAAATCGAATGGCCAGAAGTGAGCACAAGAGGGCGCCGTATCAGCCTGACATTAGGTCTTGTTCCCATTATTATCAGTATGTAGTTTTACGGCATAGGTAACAGAATACCAGACTATAGATATTTGACGAGCGGCGGAGGTTTTGAAAATAATGCTGAAAGTTGAACCTGTTATTTTCAACAACGCGTAGGTAGGTAAGATTTAATTGATAAATTTATCCTCTAGCCGTAAAAACAAATGATATTTCATATGTATAATCAATGCCTTAATGAGAAAAACATAGAAATACGATAGTTTATCAATAATAAAAGGGGAATAAATGATTGTTTAAGCAGGAAAGTGTAGCCCACTTTATCAGCCGGCTAGTTTAGCATGTTTAGCCGGCTTTCTTTCACGATATTTTGCCTGCTACTTTGCTAGTAGTGCTACTGCTAGATAAATAGATTGTACAGCGCATTTTAAAAGGTATTAAATTAGGCAGTGGATATTTTGCCGGAGACGACAAACCTTTAGTAAACGTTAGGTTGCCCGATATGCACTGAACTAGACCCGTGAACGTGGCTTGTATACAACGCCACGTTCACGGGTCTAGCACTGAACATGCGCAGTTACTGTTTTTTTGTACTTGAACATTTTCCGGTGACAAATTTTAGTCTGGCTCCATGCCAATATTATCATTGTAACCTCATATTCACAAGATGGGAGTCAGACCATTTTATAATTTCGGACTTTAGGCCTATTTCCCTTTAAAAAAAAATCCTCCAGAGCCACAAATCTGAAAAAGAAAATGTAATACTCTGCAATAAAATGTTTGAGACATGTAAAAATAATAAAAGAAGAATATTCTGATTTATTTGGGGATGGGAAAAAAAAAAAAAAATGTGGCGGGGATCGGGATCGAACCCGCGTCATACCGCTCACCAGAGCTCTTGCTTAACCACTACACCAAACGTGCTACACAACTTTGGTGGGAATTTAATACATCTTATAATTCAGCCCTATCTTAAAGAGTACAGCGCCCTCTGTTGATATGGATTGCCGCCGGCAAACCTTTAGTAAACGTTAGTTTGCCATCATTACCTCCGGCAAAATATCCACTATCATTAAATTACCTCTTGTGCAGCACCCCATAGCCTATGGCATGTACATTGAAGTTCGTGAGTGAGAGATCCCTGGTTCAAATCCTTGCTGGCGACATTTTCAATTTTTTTTTCATCCCCAAAATTTATAAGAATATTGGGAAAGAATTCCATGTCCAAATGTTAAAAAAGGCGGCGATTTGTAGAGTCCTAGTTTATACTCGGACTAATGATAATATGGCCATCACTAAATTTTCCCTGCAATGACCTATCAACCATCAGAAAGCGATAACATGTCCTAAAAAGTCAAATTTAGCAGGGAAAGTATTGAAGCATTACTGAGAAAACACTTACAATTTTTTCAGACCACTCTCATCATTCTAGTCATAGGGTTGTGCGCAGGGGTGTCAAGTGATGTCCAGGTACGGAATTCTTTCCGAATTCTGTTTTCTTTTTGTGATTTGTGGCTCTAGCTCTGGAGGTTTTTAAAAAGAGAAATAGGCTGAAGTCCGAAATTGTAAAATGGTCTGATTCAGTTGGCGCAGAATTAGACTAAATTTGTCAAGGTAAAACATTTCTGAGTCCCAAAAAATGTCATTGCGCATGTTCAGTGCCTATACGGCAAAATATTGTTAAAAGAAAGCCGGAGCCGGCTAAATATACACTGCTAAAAATTAGACCAGTTACACATCCTAGGCTGCTTTTTTTGTCCCGCCTGCCTCCTTGTTAAGTTATTTGTTAATTCATACTTTTACAATGTATTTTGGAATATTGTCAATATAGGTCTATTGTCTTTTTTATTTGGTTCTGACAAAATTGTAGCTATTAAGAAAGGGTTTTTGTATCTGCAAAAGAGTCAAGAAAATGGAAGAATCAATCCACCAACTTGGAAAATCTGCCATCTGGAAAAAAAAAAGGGGCGGCGCCTGTTTAAAAAAAAAACCCATACGAGAAGCCAGAGTTTCTTAAATTTGACTTGGCCTCATTAGAAATATATTTCCAGCCATGGAGGAGACATCCTTGGAGAGGCAAGTACAGCAGTTGAAGTCGGAGCTGGCCAAGAAGGACAATGACGTGGTGCTTGCCGCAGAGATCGGCAAGCAGCTGCTGGAGCAGAATCAGGATCTGGAAGATCGTCTGGAACAGCTGGCCCAAGACCACATCAAGAGAGTGGAGGTAAATGCCAATCAAGGCATGGCCAAATCAGAACAACAATGAGGCTACAGCACAGGATTACATGATTCTGAAGATATTAATTCAATATTTGAACCGGGAACGATTATTTTAAAATGACACCAGACTCCAGTTACAATTGGAATACAATTACATCTTTTATTTGGCGAATGTTTATCAAAACTTTTACTCAGTGTTTAACTGTTTAACTGTCTGCACTGGGACTCGAGCCCCCGACCTCCTGCTTACTAGTGCAGACGTCTTACCACTTGACCACCGAGCTTGTCCGTGTCGGCTGGCTGGTTTGAAACTTACCCGCTGCTAAGGCAACCAAACTATATCAGAATTGAACCAGCTCTGTATCAGATTGGAACCAGCCGGCCGCCCCCGGCAAACTCGGTGGTTTAGTGGTAAGACGTCTGCAATAGTACTTGCAGAACTTTGTCACTTTTTTATCCCCTTATTGACCACTCCCTCTCCCCCACAACAGCAATTGGAACAGGACAAGTACAGCCTGCAGCTGAAGCTGAGCGCCAAGGAGCAGATTGAACGGTCCCAGCTCGGCGAGATGGAGAGCCTACGGGAGACCCTGCAGGGACAGCGAGAGGCCTGCCGGCAGGGGGAGAGGCAGGAGATGGCCCACGGGAAGGAGATGCAGAAGATGGTCGGTCAGATGGAGGAACTACAGACCAGCCTGGAGCGGGCAGCCATGACGGAAGAACAACTGAGACAGAAGGTTTGCCTTTTTCTCTCTCTCAGTCAGATCTCTGAAAAGCCTCCTTCAATCCTGGGGCCGAATTCTTGGATCTGCTAAGCTCAAAAAGTCACCAAGGGTGATTCCACAGTAACTTGCGTTACGTTTAAAGGGGGTCTTCTGCCAACTCTGTGCTGTTACTCTGTAAAATCAAACTATTTTACCCTAACCGCCCTGAATCCTTCAAAATCCTCTTTGCTAAAGTGGAGGAATTTGGAGGATTGAGGTTACATGACAAAAGTGCGTGACTGATTTTGTAGTGTGCACTTTGTCAAGGTCTTGGGTCGGACCTTGTGTTGTTTTTGCTCAGCCATGCATAAATATAGGCCTGGATTATGCTTGAAATCCTCCGTACTGCTCCAGGATGTCACTGGCTAAGCCTCAACATATTGACAGTCACTGCCGCAGGATTTTGCAGGATTCAGGCAGTGGTCACCCCTCCATGGACCACATTCAAGAAATAACGGAGGAATTTGCAGGATTGAGGCTATGCTATGTTTCCATGAGGCCAATTGGAGGATTTTGCAGGATTGAGGCTACATCCTAGCAAAAAGGCCTAGGGAGCTAGGGTTAAGGAGGATTTTTCTCACACAAGATCCCTAGAAATTAAATGTCCAAACTACAAAAAAATGGGCCAACAAAATACATTTCTGTTGGTTTGGCAACAAGATCTTTATCAGTAACTCACGTTACAAAAAAAGGATAAGGCAAAACGTTTAAATACCTTGTATTTGAAAATTTCCTGAAATTGTGCACTATTGGAATAAACTTTCCAGTGCCCGTACATCATTGAGGTGTAGGTCATATGCTACCATAACAATTGTTGACAAATAATCAACCATGAAGGGATGTATTTCTGTAACTGGCATTGCAGTTGGTGCACCCATCTTTGGTGCAAGTTAAAACACATAAGAAACTAATAATCACACCAAATATATCTTTTGGCGGAGATTGTGAACCTTTCTCTTTTCCTTAAAGGGAATATACAACATTTGCAAACATTGAAAAATAACACTACCAAGTTTTTACGAAGTACCTTAATAGGATGTTGGTAAATGACAGTCTTAAGCATCCTGTAAAATTATGGCACCTGCTGTGAAGTCATTTTCAAGAAAATGGTATTTTTGTAAAAATTTCCAGCGGTGGTCGGCCGACCACCGTTGGAAAAACCTTACTATTTTTCAACTACTGCTCCAAATTTACCATTAATTCATTCCAAATTCTTTTGCTATTGGTTACATGGTCATGAACGGGTGCAGGCCAGCTAGACTGGTACCCTTACCTTACAATTTTCCGGCATCTGTAAATTGATCCATTTCATATTTAGTGGAGTCAGGGAGCCAGACTACTTGAACAGTTTTGTTTTTCTTGGTTTTTCCAGCATTTTCGAACATAAAACTTCAAACATGTCAGTGTAACAATATTTGATCTATTATACTAACCCCTCAAATAGTTCATTTCTGAAAATTACAGCAAAAGCCAATGATGTATATTTCCTTTAAAGCTATAGTCCATCATTTGCAGCCATCCGAAAAGTAACTGGCGTAATTATTGTTGAAAAACAAACTTAGTTGAAAGATAGTAAGGGAACTAAACTCCCTGTGAAATTATTCTTTCTGGGAAGCTGTCATTTTGAAGTAATCAACGAAAGAAGGCATTTCCAACGGTGATTCTTAAGAAGCACCGTAGGAAAATTTAAATTAGTAGTTCGTTTTGTTATTCAGCGCAGTGCGCGCAAGTATTGGAACGACGCACACGCGCGCACGGTTGTTATAATTCGTCGGATCAGTGCGCGACGTCGCGTATAGCTGCAATTCAAAACATGATTCAGTAACTTTTGATTTGAAATTGAGATCTTAGAATGCTGTTTTTCTCGGAATGTACAGCTGAAGCTTAGCTGAAACTTTATCAGGTTAGTTGCTTAGTATCCTTTATTAGATTTTGAACTCTTTTGTTGCTTCAAATGAACAAAATGCACAAATTACAAATGATGGACTATAGCTTTAAAAACAAAACTTGCCTTTGCATTTTGCATGTGAAAACAAGATGCAAAAATGACTACCTAAAATCCATAATTTTAGCCAACAAAACCCAAGTTTTTGAAGAAAAAAAAACATTTGACCATATTCCATCACACTGGCACACCACTCAAATGAAAGGTCTTGTTGTCTTTCTTCTTTAATTTGATACCATGTTTGAAGTTGTAATGCTTGTAGTTCTGAAAACATCATATAATTTCCACTTGTTTACTTTGCCATGGCATTGCCCCAAAGCTCAGGATATATATTTCTTTAGCGAAACTATAGGTTACCAGCTAAAATGCCATTGGATGTGAATTGCATGTGATTGGTTCACAAGTGCTTTTTGCTTAGCAAAATAATAATGCTTAGCAGAATTATTCAGCTGAGCAAATTTTTTCAGGTGAGCATTTCTGTGAAATTTGACCTTGCATTAAAATCCCTCGGAAGCTTGATGTAAATTTTAACATTAGGTGTTGCCCTTCGTTGGCATAAGTTTATAAGCACTGTATACTCGCATCTGTCCAAGAGATTGTGAAATACAATTTCCCTGTTCCTGGCTTTAGTTTTTTTGTTGGAATTTGGGATGGAAATTGGAAAATGGGATGGAATTTGTTGCACTGTTAGCACATGCTGTGGTCCATTTTCAGTAGGACATCACAAAACAGAAAAACAACCTGATTGAAATAGATCTTGCATAGGGTTACTATAATGTTTGTTCTCTGTATGTAGATTGAACACCAGGATGAGTTGTTGAAGGAAGCTCGCAGTAAGCTGAGTTCCATGGAGTTGGCACCTAACCAGAACGACGAACAGCTGTACTGCCTCCAGCACGAACTGGCCACCGTCAAATCTGACAAGGTATCCAACAAATATTGGACTTCTTATTGTTGTATCAGTACTTTCAGGTCTTGGTTGAAAAGTGCAAGCTGAAGGTCCTTATTTAAAAAGAAATTGTTTGAATCGTCAAATTAAACTGCAAAACTTGCAACAGAAGTAAATATGTTTGGGAAAATCCATTGTTAAAATAATTTTATTAGGAATTGTAAAACTCGAAATAAAGAAGTTTTTCAAGCTTAAAATCTCTTAGCAGAGAGTGTTTGTTTAGAAATCTTGTAACTGCTGTAAGGATTTTTCAGCGCTTTTATAAGAGGATACTTTTCACAATGAAGACAGAAACGAATGGACAAAAAGTTAAATGAATAAATTGTTCAAAATATGCTCCAAATGTTTCTTTGTCTGCAGGATTTGATGGGTTTTAAATTAAATGTATTTTGGATGGAGTGAACTTTGGGTGGGGTGCATGACAACTCTTTTGCAATTGGAGGTCAAGGGTCATCTAGGTGTCAATTGAGGTCATTGTTTAAAACTGCACAAAATTTGACTTTTTTAAGAATACAAAACATGCATGGATCGACCGCGAAAAAACGGCGACAGGTGCGATCCGCAGATCACTTGTTAGGTTTTCTGTTTCTCAAAGGGTTATTATTTCTCTCCTTACTAACTTACACTACAGTTGACATTGCTGTTTCTGTCACTGCTGAACTTGATTGTTGTTTCTTCTACTAAATTGAAATCTCGTAAAGTCAAACCTCAAGGGAACAGGTTCAAAATTTGACTTAAGCAGAGTTTTGAGTTAAGCAGGGTTGTATATCATTGTTATACTACTGAAGGGAATGGATTCTTTGTTTGGCTTAACAGTTGTTTTGAGTTATCAGAGTTTGACTTATCGAGATTTCACTGTATGTCAGTCGCTGAAAAGGTAACTTTCGTGATAGGTGCGATGACAAACCAATTTCTGTTTTGGATTTAAGTCTAGTATTTGATTTAAAAAAGTAAAACAAAAAATTTGAAAATTGTTTTTTCTCAAGTGATGGTCTTCAATAGTCTCTTTAATCATTTTCTTTAATCATTTTCTAATACTGTTATCATTTTCTTTGGTTGGGGTTTCAGGATAATATAGCCATGGACTTGAAAGACAGCAAGGATCACTGCCAGCAGTTGGCGTTTACTGAGGAAGTCCAGAAGCAGCGGCTACAGAGTCTACAGAACGACATCGAAGAGAAAGAGCAACAGGTCACTAGTTACTTCAACTTGCTAGAGGTACCGAGTTGTGATATTTTATCACTTGTTTTTCTTGGTTAAATAACCCAAGCTCCATCATGTAAGATATTCATTGTGGTACCCTTTGCCACATTGGACTCGAACCAGCCAGCCGACCCTCGCCAGCTCGGCAGTCGAGTGGTGAGATGTCTGCATTTGTAAGCAAGGAGTTGTGGGTTCAAGTCCCACGTCATCAATTTTGTAATTTTTTTCACACTACAAATCTGCCATTGTGAATTGGTTTTGTGATTTTGAAAATTTAAAGAAATCCTGAATTTAAAAAATTTGTCATTGGTTTTGCGTTATCAGTGATATCTGCTGATGTATTTCCACCATTTTTTTTCAATCAGGTTACAAAATGATGAGCAGAAAACCTTACAAAACATTTTTCTTTGTCCTTTAAAACGTTTAAAACTACAACTGTCACCTTTTATGTTTTTGTGTGTGTTTTGTATTGTTTTGATTTTTTTTTATTACACTGTACATGTCTTTATCCAGGGTATGCCCGAACAGTTTAAAACTGGTTTCCATTGTGGCCCTGCATACGAGCATGTGGGATTAATGCATAATTGTGAAGCAGCTATTACAAATATTGTACAACGATTGCAACTAAATGTACAGTGTGAAACAACATAGCTTACAGGCTTTACTTTAAGGTGAATTCAGTGAACACAAAGAATTTGCACATATCTTGTGACATCAAGAAAATATATTGCAATTATACTCACTGATTATGGGAGGGGTGAAAAACCCGCGAAAAAACCCTTTTAGAAGAAACACCGGAAAATTTCCATCTGGCTCATTATTATGGCAACCAAGTTTGTTACGTGTAACTCTGAAGATCAGCACAGATTTCGATTTGTATAATCAGTGAAGAGTAGACAGCGAAAAAATACTCACATATTTGCAGAAATACTACCGACTGAATGTGTTTCGTAGTTCAGATTTGAATCAGGTTAGAGAAGTCATGGTTCTCAACTGTGCATGCAAGTTATTCCATATGATTGTACCAGTTACAGCAAAGCTTGAGGCATGACATTGGTTTTTCGCAAAAGGTATCTTCAGTGCCATATCAGTGGATTGTCTCATTTCATGAATCTGAATAAGTGGTGTAATCAGATTTGTTGATCATTTGCCTGTTGTTGCACATGCAGAAAACCCGGGAGGAGGTTTCCGAGCTGCAAGTCCAGCTGGACATTGCCAAGATGGAAGCCACCGATGTCAACAAGAAAGGAAACTCCCTCTTTGGGGAGGTAAGACAATGGATCGCTCTGGATTTTGGCACGTGGCTTTTTGTCGGACATTTTGTTGTGAATTCACGGCAGTGATTAGTCAAAACCTGAAGGGGGCGGGGCTTAACGATCTACCAAGCCACTGGGACTCTGAAATCAACTGCAGCAGGGTTAAAAAAAAGATCAAAATCCCAAGAAATTGTATCAGACCTCAATATGGGAAATGCCAGCATTATGTCATGTCCGTGACAGAGCATTTAAGAGCTCAGTGAATAAACCTGAAAATATATTGTTCAAATCTTATAACATCCATCATCTAGTAATGGTCAAGGAGATTACAGACTAGGAGTTTGGGATCATTTCTATGAATCATTAATTAGATATCATGGTTAATTGACTCTACCGCGGACATTACACTTCCTTACATAACGTTGGAATTGCCGATGTATTATAATCCAACCATTTGGCAAGTATTTTTAATCAAACACTTCATGCTTTACTCTTAATTTTTGTTCAGGGCCAATAATAAAGTATCAGTTTAACATTTCAAAAGCATCAAAAAGAAATATGATGCACAAACTTTGGGTGTTTTTTTCAGAACGTTGGAATTGCCGATGTATTATTATCCAATCATTCGGCAAGTATTTTCATCGAACACTTCATGCTTTACTCTTAATTTTTGTTCAGGTCCAATAATAATAAAATGTCAGTTTAACGTTTAAAAAGCATCAAAACGAAACATGATGCACAAACTTTGGGTGTTTTTTTTGGTTGGTACTCATTTACATTGACAAAGAAAAAACTTGAGATCGGATATTGTCCTGAATTTCTTGCTGTATTCAACCTCTCAGTAAATTGCCATTGACATGCTGTAATTATGTGCCACTTAATTCTTACATCTCTACATGAACAATTTCCAGTTTGATTTCATCTGCATTTGAAGATTTTTAAAAGTTCAAAAATGAAATTGTCTGGGGTTTTTTTTCAACCACCATTTATTTCTAAGGTTGAGGATAGGCGCAAGGAAGCTGAGAATAATCTGATATCGATGAAGGTGCAGTACGAATCGGCCAAGGAACAGTTGAACATGAAGAAACAACAGGTCCACAAGATGAGAGTAAGTTCACTCAGTTAGCGTGCACTGCAATTTTTTTGCAAACCAATATTTTGTTTTATCTTTTCTGTTTTATTGTGCCAACATACCATCTCTTCATTGATATTCTCTCAATTTCTCACCACGCAGTCGTACTCTTTGTCCAATTTTAAGTTCTAAATATAATTCTACATTGTCTACTATTTATTTTCAGTTCCAGATCGCGGCCCTGTTGCAGATGGGCGGCGGCCGGGCCGACACATCCCAGAGGGAACGCTTAGAGCAGAGCCTTGCACAGAGCCGGTCGGAGGTTCACATGCTGACGGAGAAAATCAAAGTTCTGGAAAAAGCAAAGGTGCGTCTGGAGTCATCTGACAGCTCTGTTGTCATTCTTTTTTCCTTTTGGCTATCCTATTAGGGATTTTTTGAGTGAATTGAAGTCTTTTGGAATTGTACAGTCAAAGGTCAAAGATCAAAGGTCAAAGATGAAATATTCAGATTACCATTTTATAGCTGGCATAGCCTCTATCGCCCATTGGCCTGAGTGATCTTGCAAATTCATTTGAAATTCATTTGTGCCATGTAGAGCGAAATGAACTTGAGCAAGCTCTAACAACATCATGTGCCATGCTAATTCAAAGTGCAAAACAAGTGCTGGACAAGCTGAGGTCATAATCACAAGGGTTCCCACAGTAATGGGAAACTCCTGGAAATTTAAAGTTATAATGGGAAGTCAGTCATTGAAAGTTGTTGTTCCAAGAGAAAATGTCATGGAAAAGTCTTGGAATCCGGCACAACCCATACATGATGATGTGTAATATTTGGCTAACATTTCAGTGCAAACATGTACATGCAGTTTTTATAAACACCCCAAAAAAGGAAAGTTCACACTCATTGGAGGGGTCATAATTTTTGTATCTGATCGTCTTGCGATAACGTCATTAATATAGACATAAGTGGAATGTTGCTGGCTACATTTTGATAGCCCGTTTGCTACCAAAGACTGTAAATCGTCCAACATTGACAACGGTTTATGAAAAAAGATGCAGTTTGAAAAGTTGCAAATTCAAGAGTACGCGTGTGGAAATTGCTGCATGACAGTGCCGCACTGCCCGAAACGAACAGCAGGGAATACTGAACGCACAGTGCTTGCATGGATGGGAGCACGTGAGTTGAATTACCCACGCTTTGTTGGGGCACTGTGCAGTCGATAGGGGCCAATTATGGGCATGTGTGGTTACGCTTGGCAATTTCTCCTCACGTAATCTTTAAATTTGCACTTTTTCAAACTGCATCGTTTTTCATAAACTGTTGTCAGTCTTGGACGATTTACAGTCTTTGGTAGCAAACGGGGTATCAAAATGAAGCTAACAACATTCCCCAAAGGTCTATATAAATGACCTCATCATCAGACGATCAGATTCAAAATTAAGACCCCTAATGAGTGTGGACTATTCTTTTTTGCGGTGTTTAGTTGTAGTGGTGTTCAGAGCTTTGTAGTGCCATGACACGCTCGGAAGGCAGTGCAGGATGCCTCACGCGTATAAGTGGTTAGTGACATGTCACTTTAACATGAAAAAGTGGGAGGATCAGATGGCTGGATAAGGGAAGGAAGAGGCCATCTTGCTGATGGTATTGCACACTGCATAGACCTTTATTTTTAGTGTCATGACTGACCAGTGTATTAAATAGGCTCATAAGATGTCGAAACAGTGTGTTTTTGGATATGGAAAGCCCTGATTTTGTCCTGGAAAAAAGTCATGGAATTTCAATTTAAGATCTCTGTGTGAACCCTGAATCACAGTCTTTGCTCTCACGTTTCTAGTCATATCCTCATAAAACTTCCTTTGTCAGTGTTCATTTCCTGTTATTTAGTCCTGCTTGTGATGGACATAAATTGATAGATGATTTGACATTTGACGGACACGTGATAGACATGTGATGGACTTGATTACAATTCTGCCTGGGCTGTTTTCCAAACTCCGGCTTCAGCCCCAGCTCCATTGCCAAACTGCATGCCTGAAGCCAGAACGGCGATGAAGCCGGGGTTTGGCAAACGGCCATGCTCTACAATGGTTAGACTGGGCCTATCCAACCAGTGTCAACTAACCAGGGTCTTGGTGTGAGTTAGTCAAACTGTGGTTGGCCATAGTCCTTGATTCAACTTTCTCTGTGTCAAACTTCACAGGTCAGTGAGGGGATGGGTCAGCAGTACGAGGAATACAAGAAACTCCTCAGTGAATCGGACAAACCAGACCTGGTGGAGTTCCTCCAGCACAAACTCAAAACGGCCAAGTAAGATCAACTTCTCCCAACCTTGCAAACAACAATCAGACTTCCCTTTCTCTAAGGATGTGAAGTTTACATACTTTAACGTTTGAACAAAAAAATAAAAAAAATAAAAATTAAGAATATAGTTACAAATTTGCTAAAAGATTGAAACAGAACCTAAAATCTTAAAAGGGTACATTTTAAACCTACAGACCTATTTAATTTGTAAGCTTCTTTGGTGATTGATCACCTCTTTTATGTGCAAGTTATCCATTTTTTAATGAAAACAGATGCATTTGTATACAAATTTAATACATTGGAACGCCGCTATAACAAACATCGCGGGATCCACAGAAATAGTTTGTAATAGCGATCATTCGGTGTAGCGATTTTAGTAAGCTGCCGGTGCTCTGGTACTCACTTTTCAATAAATAGCGCCCTTCAGAATTTCACCCTGCACACCCTGGTAGTTACTGAAAGACGACTTTGAACGTGTGCCGTTCCCCTTCTATTCCTTGGGGAAATAATAGCCACTTGTCGCTCATCTGTTGACATTTTTCAACAACAATGTTCAGTACATTTTGTACACAAAAATCGGGAGCCAAGGACAATGTTGGGTATAGCCGAATGTTCGGTAGAGCGGTGTTCAGTATAGCGACGTTCCACTGTATACCGTTTGATGTTTTTAAAAAGCTGCTAGCCGAGATCAATGTTCCAAGCCTCTCCTATGTGCGATATACACATACTGGGGAAGGCGGCAGTCTAAAGTGTTTGAACATTACACGTCTAAACACTACACAAAAGTTTTCTTAAATGTTTGCCAAGTTAAACATGGATACCCTTCCCGACTCTTTTTCTTCCTCCCACAGGGCTGACAATGAAGAGGTGCAGAAGGAACTGCACACCCAGCAGCTGCTGCAGATTGCAGCTAGTGACAAGCTGATGGATTGCGAGCGTCGCTTGTACAGCGCCGAGACAGAGACGGACAGGACCAGGGCGGCTAACATGAAGCTCCTGGTCACGCTGGATGAACTGAGGCTGAAGCTGAATGCTAAAGGTAAAGGCTGGGGATCTGAAGTTAGTTTAGGGCTGAGGGATAGATGGTAGGCTTTCCGCTATTTTGAATCATCACTTTAACGCTCATGCTAAAGTTTATTAACAAGTGTATTGTCCAATATGAGTTAGAAAATATGTCATATCATTTGATGACACAGGAAAAAAGAAGTGAGGGTTTTAATGTGCTCAGTGATTCAGTGATGAAGAAGGCAGTGAGGAGATTGCAATTTTTCATCTAAAGATTTTGCATAAGACAGAATAATTGAAATCCTTCATTCTTCTTTTGATTCAACCACAGAGAACGGCACCACCAAATCAAAGATCAACACCAGCTATCGAGAGAAAATCTGCCTGAAGAAACCAAACGGAGACAAAGTGGTCTCAGATGGAGAACTCATGGAAACTCAAGACGTCACTGACAAAAATCCAAGTGAAGATGACATTACAAATCAGTCATCAGAAGCGACTACAGTAGCTGAGAGTGAAACCCCGCCCATGGATCAAAAGCAGCCAATGAGTGACAAGGTCTTGTTGGAATCAACCAATGAAAAGGGAGATAACGGGAGGCGAGAGGACTACGTCCTCGGGCCGTCCAATCAGAACAGGCCCCTTATCATGCCAGCAACCGGTGCGCCCGTCAAGAAACAGACCAAGAAGTCGGTGTCGATGTGCGAGACGGTCTCTGTGTTGGATGCCACGGGGAGAGTAGATCTGAAGCGGTCGTGCCTCAAGTCCGGGGAGAAACACAACCGAGACGAGGATGGAGAAAACGAGGACGACTCGCCTGGAGAGGAGAATAGCCGGCCGAGGGCGGGGCACGAGATGGGCGGGGCGGGGTCCAGAGGGGCTAGGCACGGGGGCAAGAAACACCACAAGGTGGTGCACATGAAGAGCAACAACGCTGCGGAGTGTAAACAGCAGTGAGTTGGGAAACTGGGAGTTGTGTTTTGGGGGCTGAGGAGAACATGATGGGCAAGAGTTGGAGTTGAGTCATCACAAGTCATCGCAAGCAATCATAAGAAATGAATTGTGAGAGACGTTCTTTAGTCACTGTGCATCCTATGTTGTTTGTGATTTGTCTTGTGATTTGATTTGTGATTTGACGTATGATCAGCTGGTGATTTGACATGTTATTAGCTATTTCTGCTCACCATTATAAAGAGTTCCTTTCTTCATTTGTAAATTCACTTTTGAGTAAAATAATTTTATGGTAAGCCAATTTGTAAAATTTATTATGTTGTAAATAGATTAAATTGTAAACGTATTTGATTGTTAAACTAACTTAAGAAAATTGCATGGTCTAACCCCTAATAACCAAATTGTCAACCCGGCATCTGTGAAGAAAATCACATGGATAGGCAGCCACATAAATTAGTGTTGGAATTGGAACTCTAAATTTGTAAAAAAAGCTAGCTTTGTGAATAATGGAATGGATACTGCAGTTCTAAAATTGGAAAGTTTGATGCCCCATATGCAAATTCGGGTTAAAACTGTATTTGCTCCATAATTCTGATTCAACCCTGCCGTTTGTGGTAAATGGAATGCAAATAAGGGAATAAATATGTGCTTGAACTGCAGATAGTGTTCGGCTCGGGCCATTATTATATTTGCAACCAGGCCCCTAGCCGATCGTAAACGTACTTGTTTAATACCAGCCAAGCACATATTTATTCCCGTTCATAAAATACCCGTTCATCAAAAAGTCAAAAATTCCAAAAGATTTTGATCAGTTTTACTTCAGATTTTGTGAAACGTCCCTCTGGTCATAGGCATGGTATGCGCCTCACGCGCATAGTACTAAAAATCTTTTATGAAAAGTGGCACTCGGTGTGTACTGTGCAAGTGGCGCAGAACGCAGCTGTGTTTTACTGGTGGTTTAAAACCATCCACGTGACAGGCTCTTGACCGATAGGAATTGGTAAACTGTCTAGGGTATTTGTGAATTTACAATAAATAAGAACCGGAATAAATTTAAAAAAAAACCCCACATACTTAATAGTCAAAGTTTAGACCAAGGAATGTTAAAGTGCACAATAAGAAAATACACTAACTCGGTATGGTTGTCACACACTACAAACTTTATTGCATAAAGTTGAACCTCACAGCAAATGATATATAATTTCATAAAAAAAATTCTTAAAACATAGCGGTGATAAACATCTTAATAATAAACTGGACGGAAAGTAAACAATTAAAATCTGTTAAAATGCAAACAAGCATGGAATTAATAGAAAACCATTGGATAATTTACAACTTAAATGTGTGAATACGTTTAATAACTGGACGGTGGTTTGCTTGGAAACAACAGTTTATACAACAACACCAATATTTAGTTCACTTAGAATATAACAATTTCTTCAGAACTAATCACTGCAATTTACATGAGGCTTACATTCCTTTCAATAAGCACTTCTGGTATAGCAAAATGTATACTTCTCATTTACCAAATAAATAATATAACAATTATTTTTTAGTACTAACGTGAAATTTTGTAGAACAGTAAAACTGGAAAGAGACACATTAATTCATACTGAAACCAAAAATGTATAGTTTCAATAAATGTAAAACAAGTGTTAGACAACGATTATTTTTTTGGAAATTGTGCATTGATTTAGTTAACGCATATTTGGTCATTTGGTGTGGAGTGTATGGAGCAAAGTTCAATGTGAACACAGATAAATCCTTGACATATTATTCACAAAATTTGCGTCGGGGTGATGTGAATTCAATAATAGGTTTTGCGCATCAGGACAATTCCATCTTGTGAATAGTTTTATTACGGTACCCGCTGCTACATCAGATTGGAACCAGCCAACCGATCCTGGCAAGCTCGGTGGTCGAGTGGTAAGACGTCTGCACTAGAAAGCAGGAGGTCGTGGGTTCGAGTCCCACCCGAGTGATTTTATCCAACTTTCACTCTCGGTATACACTGAGTATACAGTGTTTATACGTCAGGGCAAACCCTATTATTGAACCTTGATATATTTGTGTGACAATAACAAGCTTGGACAAGGGCATACTACAGAAACAGTACTGAAGCGTTTATCACCGACAGAAACAAAGCTGAGGGTGTAGTTCTGCAGTGGAATGGTAGAGTGTTGGACAGAATCAAACGATCGTGGACGGAAATCAAACAGGACGGTTAAATGAGCCACCTTTAGCAACAAATTTGGAACAAATTATTTACTAAAATGAAATTACTTTACTTGACATGAAATTATTTAGTAGAACCATGAAATTGTTTGTAAACAAACATAAAATGAAAATAACTGGTTGTTCAACACAGAATACAAAAAAATCAAATTAGCAATTTTCTTTTATTTATTTCAAAAGAAAAACCACCAAAACCATACAATGGTTTAGCACTGGCTTGCAATTTGAAATTTGTCTATCGGGGAAATTGTCACAGGTTAATAAGAAGAGGAGTGAGTCTATGTTTAAAAATAAAATGCTCGGAGCTCTCTGGCGTAACATGGGAACCGGTTACTGAAGCATGGGGGCCAGCCAATCATAAATCTTGGTGCCTTTCAGACAGTCGCCGTAGCTAGGATCAAACAGCTGCTCTAGGCTGTGGATACGAGGCAGCTCCACTTCAAATGGAATCTGTGGAGAGAGAAATGCCCAATGGATAAAAAAAAATGGATTTCAATTTTGCTTTCTCTTCTAATGAAAGCTTTAAGTAATCTTGACACAAATAACTTGGGTGTTGATGCAATATCTTACTGCTTGTGGGTCTTGCTGGTCCTGCTCAGGCGCCTTGTACTTCAGTAGTTCCTGGATTGTGTCCACGCACTGCCTCAGCAAAGCCTAAAATTTATCAAATTCAGTCTATATTAGGTACAGCAAAATAATGTAAATAGAATCGTCTGCAGGATACAAATCATCATGTCTCTCCGTTAGTTAGTTAGTAACAAACGTTGACATTGTCTATTGCTCCTACATATGTTCCTACACGGTTTTAACCAACAGAGCTACAGAACTGTATTTGCCCTCTACCAAATGAACTCTCTAGCCCTATGTGAAAAACATCCACATATTGTCAGTGTCTTTGCTCAAGGAAAGCGCAATATCCTTTAATGATCCATATGAATAAAATCAAACTTTTCGAACGAAAATTCCTAACAATTACATTTCTGTTAAGTTACCTCAAGATTTTCATCTCTTTTGACTTTGGCAGACAGCTGAGCGATGCGAGCTGTCCTCTTGGATTTCCGGTTGGCTGGTTTGCCTGGCGTACTGGATCCATCCTTAGATGGAGTGCTCATTGCCGGGGTGCTGGGTGGTTTAGGCTTCTCGGCCGCAGCCAGGGAGATCTCAGCCTTTTGTCTCAAGACGGCCAGACGGTCGTGGAGATCTGTCACCTGGGGTAAGGCGAGGGTCATGCTGCCCACGACGGGTGGTGGTGTCTCGGCGGGGCCTTTTGATGGGGCCGATTTGGGAGGTGGGGAATTTCCGATGGCATACAGGAGGAGAACCTGACGGGATGGGGTGCCGTTGGGGTCCTGGGTTGAAGGCTGGTACCACTGGAGACAAAGCTCATTCTCGCCAGATATTAAGGCTTTATCCGACGTCTTGGCGGCATGCTTGTTGGAATCCTCACCTGTCTTGCCGATCAAGCAGAAGGCGTTCTCAGGATAACTCTTAGCCGGTATTTGGAGGTCTGTCGGGGGGCCGGGGAACGGCAGCGACAGGCCCGTCGGCGGTCTGACAGCCTGGCAGCCTGTAGCAAAGACAGAGAGGTGACTACGCAGGAATCCCAGCATGCTCTGCAAGCGCAGCAAGGCGTCGCCGCACAGCAGCGGGAGCCGGACAACGTCGTGGTTGATGCCCGTGTCAAACCCGGTGTGATTGACAAAGCCCAGGTCGAAACCGGCACCCAGGCTGCCGTTCTCATTCGCCGGTGAACCCCCGCGATTACTGCCGTCCGTCCCTACCCCGATGGAATCCAAGTTGCAGGAACGCTGCAGGATGGCCGTGTAGCTCAGCAGGTGGATCCAGCTCAAGGTAACGGGCTTCTTGTCTGAGGCTGCCAGGAGAGGGACTGGGGATGGTGAGCCTGCTGAGATGGTATCATCATCCTCCATGTCTGCTTGGACTTCATCCAGGGTCTTCAAGGTGGGTTTATTAGCTGCTGCTGGAGGCGAGACCCCACGCTCCGCTGTGTGCAAATTCAAAGACCAATATTCCTTAAGATTAAAGGTTTTACTCAATACCCCACTTTTTAAACATTTTCCAAAAGTTTCCATGGAAAAAGGCATTCAGGGAATTGCAAGATAGTTTTTGAAAATCAGATCAGCCTTCTACCTTGGGGTATGCATGCATACAACAATAAACATGCATTTTGAATTTGTTTCACACAAAAAAAGTTTGAGAATAAAAAGAACAATTTGAAGAAATAGCAAGGGCATAAAAAAGTCTTTCACATGATCAAGAACATTACATAAATATATTAGAATTTCTATTGATCATTATTTATGATTTTTATTTTTGAACCTTGAATTGTACTTTTATATTATAGGTTTCTCTCAAATGACTTCATTGCCTACAGACCAGCCACGTGCATCGGCATTTTGAGCGTCACTTGCATGAAGCGCATCGGCTGTGTCATATTTCAAACACATTTCAAGCAACAAGTGGGCGTGTTGGGAACAATTTTCAACACTGTGCAATGCGTGCTGGATTGCGTAAAATATGCGGTTGCAGTTCTCCTACAGAGATGGCTGTCTTTGAGAGAGACCTATAGGAAGTTGGTGGTGGTTGGGAGGGACTAGGTAATTTGAAAGGGGGAGGGAGAAGCATCTGCTGACTCTGCCTGTATGCAACCTGTGAATGCCCATAACTTGTCTTACCTTTAGTAAAGCTCAGGTCCTGCATGACGAAATCAGGGATCACGTCTCTGACCTTACCCTTCAAGGTCAGCGAGGTCAAGGAGGGGTCACCCACCAGCAGGGCCAGGGATCGCTGGGCTATGGCTACGGCTGTTGCTGACTGGACGGCCAGCCAGGCCGCTGTGAGCTCCTTGGTGCGTTCGGCTATGGCTTCCTTGATGGCTAGGTCACGTTTGGACGGGGTGGCCTTCGTCGGGGGGCCAGACCGGGAGGGTTTCTTGGAGGCTGAGGAGCTTGGGGTCTGGTGAGAGAAAGATTGATTGAAAGTGAGCGATGACGAGAGAGTTTGAGATCATAATAATAATAATAATAATAATACTGGAGTCTTATATAGCGCATGTATCTACCAACAATTTGGTACTCAAGGCGCAGGTAATTATGTCTATTAGAGACAGGTGAATGAAGTACATGGGAAATATGAGACCCATTATGTAGCACCTTTACAAGGGTTTACAAGGTGCTGCGGCGCATATTGCAGCCACTGCCAGAAACACCGGGGCAAACCCCTTCTCTTAGCGACAAGTGTTACTTGGTTCTTTAACGTGCATTATACAACACATGGGGCCTACGGCTTTACATCCCATCCGAAGGACGGAGCAATATTGGTTAAGTGCCTTGCTCAAGAGCACAAGCACCATGTTCCCACAGTCAGGATTCGAACCCATATACCACGGCACAGGAGTTGAACATCGTAACCATTGGACCACAGCACCCCCTGAAGATCATCTTCAGGACCGATTAAAAAAATATTGACAGTATAAGCTGAAGAGAATTCATTTTTTCATTCTGTCGTCAAAGAGTTTAAGTATTGTGAATTATTTTCAGAAACATTCCCAATATTTGTCAGAACCTTCTGGATATTATCTGTGAGTTTTCACGAAAACTGTGGGCATTATTGACGAACAATTTGAAACAAAATTGGGACATTTCAGATAAAACTTGGTGATAATTTACGTAAAATTTACTTTAAAATCTCAGGAAATGTTATTCACGGGAGAAGACAGCAGAACCTTTTGAAGGGTTAATTGAAACATTGAAATGGGTTGTGGGTTTATGTAATCACAAAGTATACAAAGTCCACCAGTGACATTTTTTTGATAAGAGGCTTACCCTAGATTTCTTCTTTTTCTCCGGCGAGGCTTGGATGGGGAGGGTTTTAGCCTCTTCCCTCTCGGCTTGCTGTAAGTCGTTGATGACCTTGAGTCTCTGGCTGGCGCCGTCTAGGTACAGGAGGGCTACCTCCAGGTAAGCCTGGCGGATCAGACTGTGGAGTGGAATGTAACGATAACATGAATGTTATGGTGGGATTGGAACCTGTGACTTTGGATTACTGGTATTGGTGCCCTACAAAAACTGGGGTGGGGTCTGAACCAGTGACTTTTGGATTACTAGTATTTGTGCTCTAACAACACTGGGGTGGGGTTGGAACCAGTGACTTTTGGATTACTGGTATTTGTGCTCTTCCAAATCTGGGGAGGGGTTTGAACCAGTGACTTTTGGATTACTGGTATTTGTGCTCTACCAAAACTGGGGAGGGGTTTGAACCAGTGACTTTTGGATTACTGGTATTGGTACTCTACCAAAATTGCGGTGGGGTTTGAACCAGTGACTTCTGTATTACTGGTATTTGTGATCTACCAAAACTGGGGTGGGGTTTGAACCAGTGACTTTTGGATTACTGGTATTTGTGCTCTTCCAAATCTGGGGAGGGGTTTGAACCAGTGACTTTTGGATTACTGGTATTTGTGCTCTACCAAAACTGGGGAGGGGTTTGAACCAGTGACTTTTGGATTACTGGTATTTGTGCTCTTCCAAATCTGGGGAGGGGTTTGAACCAGTGACTTTTGGATTACTGGTATTGGTGCTCTACCAAAACTGGGTTGGGGTTTGAACCAGTGATTTTTGGATTACTGGTATTTGTGCTCTTCCAAATCTGGGGAGGGGTTTGAACCAGTGACTTTTGGATTACTGGTATTTGTGCTCTACCAAAACTGGGGAGGGGTTTGAACCAGTGACTTTTGGATTACTGGTATTGGTACTCTACCAAAATTGCGGTGGGGTTTGAACCAGTGACTTCTGTATTACTGGTATTTGTGATCTACCAAAACTGGGGTGGGGTTTGAACCAGTGACTTTTGGATTACTGGTATTTGTGCTCTTCCAAAACTGGGGAGGGGTTTGAACCAGTGACTTTTGGATTACTGGTATTTGTGCTCTTCCAAATCTGGGGAGGGGTTTGAACCAGTGACTTTTGGATTACTGGTATTGGTGCTCTACCAAAACTGGGTTGGGGTTTGAACCAGTGATTTTTGGATTACTGGTATTGGTGCTCTACAAACACAAGAGTGGGATTGGAATCTAGTGTGTGTGTAAAATAAATGAATTTCTTTTTTTTAGGGGGGGGGTTGTTAAGTTCTGTTTAATTAAATATTGCTTGTATGAAAACTCCTTAGTAAATAAAAAACTTCAGTCCCTCCAGAAATTAGCGTAGTGAGCTGAAGTCTTGAATGGATTTTGATTTGGCAACTAGGCACCTTGTGTGAAAATTTGACCAATTTCCGTGAAGATATGGATTTTTTTATGCCGCCTATGTATATGGCCGGCTATAACTTTTAGATTTCGGGGCATATGATTTTAGCAAATTCAACAAATTTGGAAAGCACAGTTTAAAGCAACATCGGGAACACACAGTTTTTGGTGCACAGCTTCAAGTATCTACTGTGTTGTGACTTTGGCAAAATCCAAAGCTGTAAGCAAAAGGAAACACCTACCCTAAATCCTGATTGCTCGCCATGCTGACGTTGACAGCCTCTAGTAGCGTCCCCACAGCAGCCCTGGGCTGGTATGCTCCACCATCACCACCGCTACTCCTGCATCGGGCCAGCTGCCGCTGCACCTTGCCCAGGTGGAGGAGCAGCTCAGCTAGGAGACTGCCCTCCTGCCTGGCACAGACACGGCCCAGCTCTAGACCGGTGGAGAGCACGCCGGCTGCGTGGAGCCAGGGATCAGGGGTATGGTCACCGAGAACCCTGCAAGAACAAAGAAATCAGGAGATGAAAGCCAGCTTCACAGAATGCCTCACTATTTTATGTGCAACTTTTACAAGCACACTAAAAATGCAATTAGTATGTTGAGGGGGTATTGGTGGTGTTTGAAAGCCCTATACCTGGTCTGCATGATCGCATTTTAAACATCTTTTCATGTGTAGTTAACTCTTTCAGTGCCCGCGAAATTTGAAAAGTTTAACCCTAAAGTGCCCAACTTCGAGCGTTTTTGTTAATTGTTCGAAATTCCGTAAAAAAAAAAGTAAATAAGTTTTACTCACTAAATTTGTTGTTGTTGCTCTCTGGTATATCCTTGATATATTGGAAAGTCAAAAGTAGTCACAAACATAGTGATACACCCTGAAACACTGGCCTGAACACAGGGGAATTCCGCACTTTTTGCAGAAAATACGAGATTTAGTGCTGCGCCCTCTCGCAAGAACTCGAATGAAAAAAAAATAAATACAGGTCGTACATGCATGAAAATGGTACCATTAGAAAGAACGAGAGCGCCCCCTTTTGATAACATATTTACTCTACCTCGTACATGTACAAGGTTTGGCAATTTTAAGTATGAACATTACCTCGTACATGTACGAGGTTGGTGCTTTTGTACTAACAAATATACCTCGTACATGTACGAGTTTAGCACTGAAAGAGTTAAGAAAACAAAACAAAAAACAAAAAACAAAACAAAAAGGAAAGGAAAAAACAACAATAGGTTGAAAATGCTGTCTGTTTGTGGCTTCTACAGGCATTGCAGATCTGGGCCCAATTTTTCACGATCTTCTAACTGCAGAATTGTTTGCTTATGATCACCATTTTGTACACACATGCTCAAACCAAAATTCCTTGCTAACTCAGAAGATTTCTAGTGAAATTTGCGGCATATTTGCTGGGATATAGAGAAAAGTAAAAAAGTAATTGAAAAACTTGGCCGTACTTTGCACTGTTCTTCACTTGTTCCCTGGTAGCCCGGCGGGCCAGGGCGTGGCCTATTCTCATCTTGGTCTTTGCGAGGTACAGCAGGTGGGGAAGGTAGACATTCAGGAGAGGGCTGGCAGGGGCTGACAGGTAGGAGACTGAGATGTGTCGCTCAATCTTCTCACCGAGCAGCATCATCTGCATCACAGGAACAGACAACAGAAAGACATCAATGCAAATAGCAAGTTTTAATCCAACACACTGGTCTCCAATACGAGTGTGACGGTTCAGCTGTTTGGCAAGCCAAAATTGATCTAATATTGATGAGCCAATATACAGAGCGGATAAAAAAACCGAAACCGAGATATTATTGCTAATTGGAACAGAAGTAGGGCACATGTGAATCAAAGGGAGATATCCTCTGTTAGGGTTGAATCTCCTCTTTATAATGACACCCTGATCATGTCCTTACATTCACGGTTGACTGAGCAGTGACCGATTTTATGAAAGGGTCTATTTAAAGAATTGCGCCACTTTTCAATTGTGGTTTTTGTTGTGTCAATTGTCACAGAGTGAAAGGCTATGGTTGCCAATCAAGGCAGGTGGGAAAAAAAGAAGAAGACATTTCACCATGAAAAGTGGCGCAAGTCTCTAAATACACCCTTTCATAAAATTGGTTACTGCTCAGTCAACCGTGAATGTAAGGACATGACCAGGGTGTCATTTTAAAGAGGAGATTCAACCCTAAGAGAAGATATCTCCCTTTGATTCACATGTGCCCTACTTCTGTTCCAATTAGCAATAATATCTCGGTTTCGTTTTTTTTATCCACCCTGTATTGGCTCAATCTTACTTGTGCATTGTTTGAACTAAATACAATCAATCCATTAACAGAGTGATACTACTTCCTTTAGTAACTTTACTGTCCATTCCAAAGCTCAGTGGTTGCAAGGTGAAAGGTCTGCACAAGTAACCTGGGAATTATCTATGCCTGTGAAGTCTTCTCTCAGCTCTCAGAAAACATGATTCAAACCCACTGCTAATAAGTACATGATTCTGCATCAGAATTCTGTAAAAATTTCAATTATATTACCTCTATTATTTCCATCTTATGAATAAACATATTACAACTATTTTCCATGATGTGAAAGGGAAGTAACATCCCTGGATATAATATGCCATTATTCATCCTTGTCTTTAATGCCGGGAAAATTTATTTTGAAAATTCCATATTCTCAACTCAAATGAAACGATTAGTTTTCACACAATTCATTAAGTCAGAAGTCTGTACATAGAATAATTTCCAAAATACTACAAAGCAGAGTTTTTTTATATTTCAAGTAAAAAATCTTACATATGCTCAACCCAGCATCCCCTAGTTCTACCTCAAAATCTTTGTCAAGTTTGAAAACAAAGCTTCAAGATATCACAAAATCCCACCTGATTGAGCAGAATCTGCTGTGCCTCCGTGTAGGCAGCCAAGGTGCTGTCGGTGATGGGCGTACCCTTCTCCTTGTGGTAGGCGTGGGCGGCCAGGGCCCTCAGGTCTGTCAGCTGGATCTTGGCCAGGGCTAGGAGGAGATGGCCGGGGGAGGACAGGGTCTGCTGCTGCTCCAATAGGCTCACTACCTCCTGCGAAGGGATCATTAGATGAGGATGGAGGTGGGGGAGTTAATCAATTAGATTTGTCAAGATTTCTGTCAGTAAAGTCTGTCGCGAGCCAGTATGGCCCATCAGGCCGGCGTTTATCTCCGGTTTCCAGGGCATGAAACGACTGAGAATATGTCTATTCCCCCTGGATAAGATGTTAGTCCATCGCAGGTTACTTGATCACCACCAAATTCCGGTTTCGATTTATACTCCCTGGCGGAGAGAGGCAAGTAAGGGTTAATAATCTTGCCCATGGACACAACATATGACCAGCAGCTGGATTGGCCCCCCTGACCCACTGATCATGAGTCATGAACCTAAACCACACTCCCCAATGACAACATTTATGTGAATACATCAAATTTATTTATTTTGCTTGAAACTGTGATTTGAAATTAACAAGGTCTTGAGCAATACAGCTGAACTTTCCAACAAAAATCCTCAAAATTCTCCAATGTTGTCTCAGCCAAGTCTGGTATGTACTTAAGCCAATGTGAATGCCTAGCAAATTTCAAGTCACAAAACCTTTGAAGAAAAAATATTGAGGAATTAAAAGTGTTCAATGTTTTTTTTTTAAATTGAAGTATGAAAATTGCCATGATGTCCAAACTTTGGTTTGTGTACACTATCTTACCGAGTATGAATTTGGGAACAGAAGGATAAAAAGCATATTGTACCTGCAAGGTTTGTTTGATGTCATCTAGTGACCGCCCCTCTTGCAAGTCAAGCAACGCCCCTTGCATCAGGAACTCAGCTTGCATCTCATTGTCACCGCACGCCTCGGCCTCGGTCAGACCCTGCATGCAGAACTGACGGCAGTCTAGACCCTCTGACGGTCCATCGGAAGCTGAGTGAACAGAAAGAACATGGAGAAATCAGGCACAAAACTCAATGAAACTGAAGATAAAATCTTGCTCTGAAGCAAGTTCAAAAACCAAAAAAGTGAAGACGGCGGCATGTTTTACAGTTTTTTATGTTGCAACTTCTCTGTGAACACAATTGGCATCTTCTTTTGGAAGGCATAAAAAATTGCATATTCATTCCTTTAGGCTTGTGTACATTTTTTCTGCTGTGTTTTTCACAAAGTAGCAAAATATAGTCACATGTTGGTATACCGTGCACTATTTGTGGTAAAGGGGTACCCCATGTCCCCTTACCCTATACACACCCTAGACTATTGTTACCTAACACATCCCCGCTAGATATCTCAAAAGAATTCCTGAGATTTTGGTAACATAATGACCAACAGAGAGGGAGGGGGGTGGGGGGGGGGTTTGGATATATTCAAATTTATCTCGCTGTACACATGTCGAACCAAATAGAGTTAGAAAATCGACTCAGGTCAACCCTGTGACAAGTGAACTCTTTGTATGAAGGTTCCGCTGACCAGACTCAAGACACCTGTTACAGTCAATCTTATGAGGTAGCCAATCCTCGCTGTTTCAACGTTAACCTTTCTATGCGCTGAATTCAAATCCGAGCAATAACTCGGTTCGGGACCGTTCTTGAACACCAGACACAATCTGGTGTTGTTGGCTTACTTGCAAGGAGGCCCATGCCCCGGACCTGTCCCATCAGGCATTTGACCAGGGCTAGTCGGCAGTCCAGCCACAGTCGGGCATCCAGACGGGACCGACTCTGGAAGTTCTGGTACTGGTACTGGCTGGGGCTGTCTACTTCCATGGGGGTAGGGGGCATGGGCTGGGAGGCCATCTGGAACTTCTGCTTGCTACCCTTGAAGGACGACAACCTAAAATGTGACAGGGGAAAGAAAGATTTTTTTAAAAATAATATTAACTCCAGGGTATGCTTTTTTTCGTTGGGAGAAATCCTGAATTCTACAGATGTAATGAAGTCATGGCAAGTTGTCACTAGTCATGACAACTTGTCATTAGTCATGACAAGTTGTCACTAGTCATGATAATTACAACTTAAGCGCAATTCAATCACAAGTTGAGTCAATCACCAAGTTATCCCATCTCAGTCCGTGTAATAGGCTATTCAAATGAACAATGACAAACGTATTAACTTGTTAACTGTTTGTCCACTGTTACTTGTGTCCTGTGCATTTAAATTTGACCTTTGACTGACTTTTGATTGACCATTAATTGGAAACTTTTGAGACATTGGTGGCAGCAAACAAACCGGTCCTTTTTCAATTGTTTGCGTCATATTGAGCGTACGCGCTTTAGATTAACATGATGCAAACAATTGAAAAGGACCGGTGTGTGTGCTGCCACCAATGTTCAAAAGTCTCCCATTGATGTGATTGACTCAATTCCAAATCTGCTAATTACTTTACTAAACAGTAAGCAGGACATCATGGGTTCGATTCCCACCAGAGTACTTTTCTGAATTTTTTTTCCTCATAATCACTCAGGATGACACTGTATGAGCATACATTGTTTATATAAAAATGTTGCTGTGAGGCAAAACCCAATATTGAATTTACATCACCCCGACACGAATTCCATCTGATGAATTGCTTGTACGTAACTTACATGTACTTCGCAGGACAATTTTGCTCAGTTATACTTTAGGTGCTATGAAACTTTGGAAGCTACTCACAACCATTAAACATCACTTGACACTTTGGCTAGTGACCTATTTCTGCTTGGTAAATATTTCCTGTGCTTAGCAACTTTTGTTTTGTGCTTAGCAGCTCTCTACGAAATTTTGCTCAGCAAGCTTATGTGCTTAGCAAAAATCAGCCAAAAACCGGTCACAAGAAAGCTACATGACATGGCACTTTGGCTTAGCAACTATTTTCTGGGCTAAGCAAATTTTCTGTGCTAAGCAAATTTTCTGTGCTAAGCAAATTTTCCGTGCTAAGCAAATTTTCCGTGCTAAGCAAATTTTCTGCGCTAAGCAAATTTTCTGCGCTTAGTAAATTTTTCTACTTAGCATGCTCCAAGAAGTTGACCCCTGACCCCTGACCTGCGTGGTGGCTTGGGTTTCTTGGTCTCGCCAAACAAGCTGCTCTCCTGTAAGGCAGTCATGGCCGAGACGACAACTTGTGCAGCGGTGGTGGCTAGGTGAAGCTCACGGTTGACTGCAGCCAACTCCAGCTTGGCCAGGACGATGAGCTCCAACTCCGCCGCTGATTGGCCACAAGTCCCTGACAAGGCAATAAACAATTATGAATAATTACACAACTGCTCTGTTTGACTTCTGTTTATTAAAGGCATATAGGATCATTTGCTTTTGATGCATTATGTTCATATCCAATAATAACACCACTGAAAATCACAGGAAGAATGTTCAAAACCTAACCTACTGAAGTTTCAACTCAGTGGATATCACCCTTTTTGAGAAAACAGTGACAAACCATGCACAACCTTTCGATCATGCAGCACGATTTTGTTAATATAACCCTATATTTCCAAAGATTAGTCAACTGACTGATCGTTGGAAATCAACAAAAATTTCTTGATTTCTTCTAAACGACAGCAAGCTAGACTGAATAATTTCACAGGGTGTTTAGTACCAGTACCATCTTTTATCCAAATAAAGCTTTTTGATAATATTTCGCTAGGTTACTCTTGGGATAAGTGCAAATGATCCTATATGCCTTTAAGGCAGCCGAGCTATAAACATCCTGCTGCAGGGAAAGACTTGACTGGATTCAGCTTGTTCTGCTTAGCTAGAATAGTTGAGACCAGGGGCCAATTTCATAGAGCTGCTTAAGCACAAAATTTGCTTAAGCACAAAAACGTCTTGCTTAATAAAATCAGGTTACCGGCCAAAACTCCATGCGATTGTTATGCTAAGTAAACAACAGCTCAATACCAGTCATAAGCAATGTACATCACATGGAGTTTTGGCTGGTAACCTAATTTTAGTAAGCAATGTTTTTTCGTGCTTAAGCAAATTTTCTGCTTAAGCAGCTCTATGAAATTGGGCCCTGCAGCTGAGATCTATGGAGGGCTTGATGCGTCCAAAGCCATCAGCATGTCGCTCCAACAGTCCTCAAGTTAGCTAAACAGATCTTTAGTTTCTTGTCATTTTCTGGGACAATAATGTAATCCACCTACAGACAGATGCACTGACCGGTATTCTACTTGTCTATACAGCAACTTTGTAGGACCTGAGTCTGTGGTCTCCTGAGTGAGACTTGCAAATGGATTCATTGAGTTTTACAAGCAAGATTCCAACATCCAATCTGAATCTTACCTTGGCCCTGCATTATTTCCACCATGATCTTCAAGGTCTGTTCAGCTGTCCTCAGAAGCACTCCCTGTTTGCACAACGAATGAGAGAAAGCGTCAAATTTGGTAATTGTTGGGACTTTCCCGTAAAATCTCATTGCTGTATTCCACACAATGTATGTAATTAGGTTTACCAAGGTCTGATTAGGGCATCCCTTTTTATTTCCTTGGTTCTAATTTCTGACCGACAGTATTTTGGGCTCCCGAACCAGAATAACCTGTTTGGAATCCCCACAAACAAAAAGCAAATTACAACAATGAAAAAAAAATGATGAGTAAAAAAATCTGGTGATCAGGCTCTGTGTTATTTGAAAAGCTATGAGAAAAATACATTTTCATGCAGAGTACAGCATAAAGCAACCAGTGCCATGCCAGAAGATGCTAGGGTGTTGCCTGTCATTAGGGGTCTCTAGCTCATCTTCACAGGGGCATGGTATGTCATAGCTGCCAATACAGTCAAAACGTTAGTAAGCTGCACGGTGCAGATAATATTCAATCAACAATCTTGCCAAAGATTGCTTTTTTGTTTGTTTCATAGTGATATCAACGTATGATAAACTCACTGCAATAAACAAAACTAGAGACAATACGCATTTGGCATCACTTAATGTTGCCATCTTTATGGGTGCAACTGCAATTTTTTCCTTCAGATTTTAATTTTTTTTGCCGACCGACAGAGTCTACAATGGTCACCCCCAGATGTGTGCACGTTTGTGATCAATGCATAAACTGATCAGGAATTAAGCTTAATAATTTGTAACGTAGAATATGCAGTTTTACTATGATCACTTTACCATACTGTGTGTGCACACTTCCGGGTTTGTTCTTGATTGGAAGAGATCAAGGGGGACAGGAGGCGTGGCACAGAGCGATAAGTGGGGGGAGGGGGGCAAATTGTTGTTAGATCTTTCGGTTATCAAATCAAATAACTAGATATCAAAATTCAATGTAAGCGGGTGCTCCTTTGTCTTTTGTCATCCTGTGTATATTTCTACCATGCTTAGAATTGATTTGTGATGGACTACTAAGTCTGCTACATGTATAGCATTAACTCTTTCGCTACGGCGAGCCGCTGACAGCGGCACACAAAAATTGTACATGTCAGACGGCAAGCCGCTGGCAGCGGCTCGGTGATGTCGCTGTGAATAAACAGGGTATCCCCATGACGTGTGCCTTATCTACATAATTTATATCGTATAACCTCTGACCCTAGTTTGAGCCGCTGCCAGCGGCTCTCCGTCTCCCCGGGGTCTGCTGCACGTTATTGTGAGCAGTTTGTTTACAAAGAGACATTTCAAGATGGCGGCGTCCACATCAACACACGGCGGAATTTCCAGCGGTTTATTACGTCCAAATGTGGAAAAATCGGTAAATTAAATTCCGTAGCGAAAGAGATAAAAAAAAAGAAGGATGAACAAATTAATGCATACGATTCAGTAATAATGCCAGCCCCTTCCACACTCTCTACTGCCCATTGCAAATGTTTAAATATTGCCAGTGTTCAATATAATTATTTCAGTATAAAAAAACTGGTTATATTGGTCCATATGTTGGTGCAGAATCATCCTCATATTTGAAAGTTGCTAAGCTGTAGATTTCTCTCCTAAAGATGTTTTTTTGTGTGTGTTTTTTCCTACAATTTCCTATTGGGAGTATGAGTCACATACATTGTTTAGTCTAGTTTAACTAGTGTGGATCCAAATTAAGAAAGGGGAAGTTCCTGGTTAAAAAAAAACACCACTCAATATTGATCAAAAGTTGACATGACTTTCTAAATGACATTTGCAAATAGTTGATTAAATGAGAAGGCAATTTGGGGGGGGGGCGGGAGGGGGAAGGAGTTCGATATTATAAGTTTACTTGATTACTAAGGGAAGGTATTGATATTTGGAAAAAATAGAGCAGATGGTACTGTTAATTGGCCTCTTTTGCCGACGGTTGCACAACATTTTGACAAGAATGATGATTTTGCCAACAAAAACAAAACACTGCATAGAAAGTATAAATAGCTCTTTTCAATTGTATTTTGATCTATACTGTATTTTTTTTTCAAGATTAAAAAAGAGGAAGAAAATCAAATAAAATGTTTGGCCAATTAGAAACCACAGGCATCATAACTTTGGATCATTTTCAAGATTTTGGCAATGGGGTGTTTTTCTTCTTCATTTGCTTAAGTTGGGCAGAAAACTCACACCCATTCCAGGTTGGCTTATTGAGCGCATAACATCCAAAGCATAATTGGCCTGCTGTTTTTCTTAGGTCCGACTGAAGTTGTGGATGTTAAACTTCTGATAAAGTTCATCGCTGCAACCATGTTCTGTCTTTTTACTTTGATCGTAACTGCACTGATGTGTGGAGGAGGTAGGGGACAGAGTTTCACGAGAAATCCAGAAGATACTCTGGCCGTGGTGGGAGACAATGTGACGTTGAGTTGCACAGTAAATATTAGGGCATGTAAAAGACCTCAAAGCCAATATTCTATTTATTGGCAACGTTGGCAAGGAGGAAATGCCGTGGGATACGTCTCTAATTGTGGGTCAGTTGGTAAAGACTATATTAATAAAAACTCAATTGTAAGTTCATCAGACGGCTATGAGTGGAACTTACTATTCATAAAAATTCATTATAGCTTTGCTGAAAAGTATCAATGTCTTATCTTTGATAAAAACTTAGTGGCCAGAACTCCGTTTGCAACACTCACTGTTGTGTACCCAATAAACACAGTGGTCCAATCGTCTCTTCAAAGCAGTGAAGGACAAGCAGCTTCTTTTCTCTGTCAAGCTGACGTACAGTTAAACGACTCATACGTTTGGTTTCTGAACATAAACGGCACATGGAATGAGATATCGAACTCTGACAACTTCAAACTCTCCAAGGATAAAGCCGACCTTACCATTCAGCGGTTAAAGGCGGAACATAACGGCAGTCAGATTGCATGCGAGGTAATCAGGGGAACAACTTCGTTAACAAGACAGAGGCAAGCGGCCTTGCTGATAGTTAACCCCAGAGAGAAACCTACCACAACTGAACTAACTACTACAGAATCACCAATCTCAGACAAAATTACTCCACAAGATCGACAGAACAGGAATGGCATTAAACCACCACCTACTGGGGCATCCATACCCAAAATCCAACCCACGACCAGTGCAACTAAGTTCAATAACAAAGACAATGACAACTCCAAGCCCCATCCTATAAAACCAGATGGCATCTTAATTGGAGGGATTGCCATTGCTGTTGTCCTACTAATCGTCATCGCGTTCCTCCTGTATTTCCTGGTCTTCAAACACTGCGGCAAACGAGACATCCGCCCAACCAGCCAGTCACCTGAAACTCAAGACAGCAGAACACGCTCCGACGAAAACGACATCACAGAAACACAACTGAATGTTGGCGTTACTTCTGCAATTCCACAACCGATCTCTCCAGACACAAAATCAGTTGAGATCTCCAAACCATCAACAATTGTGGAAGTGGCCGCGGACTCCACTCAGCAATCAAGCGCCGACCAAGACCAAGGTAAGACCGACAAATCCCCAACCAAAGATGCAGCTAAAATGAACACTATAATCACACCAGCACAGGCGAAAAAGAAGAGTCAAACAATTGGAGGGAATGTTGCCGAGGCTCTGTACGCCACGCCTGATAAACCTTTCATCAAAACTAAGACACTAGGCGCAGTCCACGCTAAAGATTCCTCTCAGACAGTTAGAGGCCAGACCACAAAACAGCGCATGGAATTGAAGCAAGCATCACCCAAGGTTCCTAAAGACGGTGTTCCGAGTCAAGAGGAGTCCAAGAAACCGACCATAATCATCAAACCGTACACCAGTGCGGGATGCAAGGCGCAGGCAACAGGACGCCCAATGCAGGACACAGCACGCACTACTCAGGACACACAACCTGCGATTCACAATGAAGGATGCCCACAGCAGGAAGCCCAACCATCTAGCGCGGTCAAGCCGCCCAAAGTTGTACCGTATCACCTCTCCAAAGCAAGGGCACCTCCAACCTCCCAAGCCGTTCAAGAGCCAGCAGATAAAAGCGATGAGGAGGCAACGGTTATTGAATCGAGACAGAAGAACGTTGAGGGTCTGATCTATGCTGACTTGGATCTGCGAGGGAGAGGTGCGGTAGACGACGCAGGAGCGAGCATCCCCGAGGAAGAGACACTCTATGCCGACATCATCAACAAGGACACGCTGGGTAAGTAGAGGTAGAGAAACTAAGGTCTTACAAGACCCATCAAGGAAGTGTTGTAGTTGGGAATAGTAGTTGGATTGTTGATGAAAACCTTCAGCAATCCCTGTTATTAATCATGCTTATTAAAAGACGTGGGCTAAACCCGAGTGGCCCAAGCTGGATTTGTTAAAGCCCGAGTCCATCATTTGCAGCTATCCAAAAAAGTAACTGGCATAATTATTGTTGAAAAACATACTGGTTGAAAGATAGTAAGTGGACTAAACTCCCTGTGAAATTATCCTTTCTGGCAAGCCATCATTTTGAAGAAATCAACGAAAGAAGGCCTTTCCAACGGTGCTTCTTAAGAAGCACCGTAGGAAAATTTAAATTAGTTGTTCGTTTTGTTATTCGGCGCAGCGTGCAGAAGCATTGGAACGACGCACAGGCGCGCGCAGTTGCTAAAATTCGTCGGATCAGTGCGCGACATCGCGTAAAGCTGCAATTCAAAACAATTCGAAACATATAGCAACTTTTGATTTGAAATTGAGATCCTAGAATGCTGTTTTTCTCGGAATATGAAGCTGAAGCAGAGCTAAAACTTCATCAAGTAAGTTGTTCAGTATCCTTCATTAGATTTTGAACACTTTTGTTGCTTCAAACGAACAAAATGCACTAATTACAAATGATGGACTATAGCTTTAATACAAATGCATCTAAACCATCCACACAGGTTGATGGGAATTCACAATTGTTTGAAATTTGTACCTGAAGACTTTTAAATCATAGAGCAATGACTTTTTTGAATAAAGTATGCAAAAGGGCATGAACACAGTCAGTATTTTTT